CTGTTGCCTCAAGGATAAAACAGATATTCCTTAGCCTGGCATTCAAAGCTAGCCAAAATCTGATTCTATATTCAATTTCTAGTCAAGTACAAACTGGATATTAACTGTTTCCTAAGTTCGTCATTCCATCATCCATCTCTAATGACTTTGCACACCCCATCCCTACCTAGCTCAGACACCATCTCTCCTGATTCTTCACCACTACCCCACAGCAAAAGGACATTCCCTCCTAAGACTCTCTTATTTGTTGTTATTCAGTTATGTCTGACTCTTTATGACCCCATGGACCAGTGCTATTCATGGGGTTTTCTTGGCAAAGTTTTCTTGCCATTTCCTGCTAAAGTGGATTAGGATAAACAGAGGCTAAAGGACTTGCCCAGGGTCACACAGCTAGTAAATGTCTGAGGCTGGATTTGAACTCGGGTCTTCCTGACTTCTGGCCCAGTTTTTTAGTCCACTTAGCCACCTAGCTACCCCCATGATCTTGTTGACTTCTCTCTATATGTGTATCATCCCAGTAGAATATAAGCTCCTTGAAGACCAGATCTGTTTAATTTGTTTTTGTGTCTTCAGAACCCCTTGATCCCAAAAGAGAACCATGAGCACTTTTCTTAGATTTGATATTCTTTACTGCCCCTTCCTCCTGTGAAAAAATCACATTTAAAACACTGCATTGCCAACATTTCCCTATTTCAGAAATAAGAGGCTTGGAAAGTCCTACACATAAATATTTCTTACGAATTGTGGACTTTTGAAAAAGCTTTCTAAACCTCATCATAGATCTACTAGAATCCCCCTGGGTAACCTTGGGTGAGCCATTTCACCTCCGGGGCTTAATTTCCTCATCAGCAACATGAAAAAGTTGGACTAGATGGTCTCTAAAGTATCTTCAAATCTAATATACTCCAAATTATTATAAATTCTGCAATGTTTTGTACCAGAAAAAATTTTGTAGAGATGAGTCATATTAGGCAGCTAAGTGACGCAGTGGATAGAGCACTGGACTTGCAGTCAGAAAGACCCAAGTTCAAATCTGATCTCAGACATTACTAGCTGCATGACCCTGGGTTAACCTCTGTGTGCCTCAGTTTCCTTATCTGTAAAATGAGGATAATAACAGGTATCTCCCAGTGTTGTTGTGAAGATCAAATGAGATATTTATAAAGTGCTTAGCATAATGCCCAGAACATAGATGCTATCTGTATAAATGCTAGCTTTTATTTTTATTAATCTGAAGATGAGGCTGGAATTATGTTTAATATATTTATATTCATAATGTTGACATCATCATATACTCTCAGGCAATCCAGCTAAGCCGAGATGGCCAGTACTTGCTCACAGGAGGAGACAATGGAGTCGTCATGGTATGGCAGGTGTGCGACCTCAAACAACTCTTTGCTTACCCAGGGTGTGATGCTGGAATTCGGTCCATGGCCTTATCTTATGATCAAAGGTAAAAGTTTACACATTAATAAGCATTACTGTTAAACTGATTCTGATGAGTCAAATTGTCACACAATTCAAATCTGTGTAGTTAATGTTGTTCCATTATTTGGTCACCAAAGGCCGGCATAGAAAGTGGAGTAAAGTTTCCTTCACTGATAATATTACGGCTCTAGTGGGAGGCTAAGGCTTTAGAAGCAATCACGACTTAAGCAATGACCACAAAATGGACCCACTTTGCTATTAGGCCTTTTGGTGGCTTCAGGTGGGGGATTTGTTTCATTAACTTTTGTTCGGTCAACTCAGTTGCTTTATGGCTCCATCTAGGACTCATCATGATTTCTTCCACTGTCCTGTCAAACAGTTTCTGAGGAAGTAAAACCAGATCATGTGTACAAAGAAAAGTGGAGTCATCCCACATGGAGCTGAAGCTATTACTCTGCTGAGATGGGGACAAGGGGCTTTTCAGCAAGGAAGCCCTTTTCTTTTTTAGAATTAGCTCAGACTCCTCAATTCCAGTTCCCTTAGTTATTCCTTCCTAGCAGTGAATGAGAAAGGAACACTGTGCTTCCCCAGTTCTAAGCAAACAGTCTTCTCAGGCTCAGCATCGCTAGGAGGTTATCTGGGAATCAGAAGATATGGATTCAGGTCCTCACTCTGATGGCCTACTACCTGTGTGACAATGGGCCAAATGGCAGATTTTGACACGTGCCAGTAAACTGAGCCAGAAACATAGGAGGATTCAAACTCTAACTCCATGTTTGTCCTTTTCCCAGGTGCATCATGACCGGCATGGCGTCTGGGAGCATAGTACTTTTCTACAATGACTTTAACCGATGGCATCACGAGTACCAAACCCGATACTGAAAATGAAAATCAAATTGAACTAGTACAGGCGACAAGACTTCAGACATAGAAAGCAATGTCCTGCCATAGCATTGTTCTCTTCTAAATAGCTATCCCACCTGAATGTAACTTAAATTTGCTCAAACAGCAAAATATTTTTTAAAGTTAATTGCTATTTTTGTAGACTTTGCTTGACTTTTTTGGGGGAAGGGCAGAGAAGCAAAAACTGGCTGCTGGGTTCTCTAGTTACAAAATCTATATTTTTAGTCATAATTATAAGTCTATTTTCACCCATTATAGAAAGAAAACTACAATAAAGTGAGTTAAGTCACTATTATAGACTATATTATGAAGAAATGTATTTCCCCATTTAAAGCTTTATCTATAATCTTGAAAAATATGATTTTAACAGTGGGGAAATGGGTTATAATGCTGGGGTATGGGGATTTTAATCTGTGCTACCTGTACTAGACTTTGTGTCTTGTTATTTTCCAAATGATTGTATTTCTTGAGCACTGAAGTTTCTGTAATGTTTAAATTATGATAATTGTAATTTAAAATTTGATGATGAATCATTTCCATTGATATTCAAGCATGTTTCTAGGCCTAGGCAATTAGGTTTTGGGGAGGTGGCTTTTGAAAGCTTTTGTTTTGCCGTGTGGTCAGGAGCAAGAAATCAGCTCAGACTAGGGTCATTGCTGGATATATAGCAGATGCGGCACACTTCTAATTTTTAACCTGAAATCTTTTAGAGCACACCAAACTGGGAAGATGGAAATGTCCATAGGCTAGCAATCTCTTCTACTTTGGAATTAAATGCAGGTACCAAAGCACACTTCTGCTGTTTTGACTGTGAAAGCACTGAGGCTGACCAGGGATCCAAGCCTCTTCCTCCTCCCTGTGCAGAAGCTCCAGGTTTGCAAGCTGCTTTTCTATCCCCTCCTCCCCACCTTTTAGAACAGAAGCCTCTCTATCATTATAGAGCACAGAGTGATCTGCTCATGTGCTGCACTTGGCAATACACTTTTTACTTCCTATTTGCATCTAGTTCAACTGTCTTTAAATTTTCTCTACATCCCCTTAGGAAATGAACCGTGATTTATACTAAGGAATAATAAGTTATTTTGGTGTTGTGTAATTGATTCTACTTTTCTACCAGATTGCTGTGCAGAATTCTGTGAACATATTTGTGAAAAGGACTGTATCGTTTTGTAAGTCTGTATTGCATAAACAACTTCTTTGTATGTGGTGATCTTTGAGTGGAAACTGACATTCCATATCTATTTCTCTTGCTGCCTACTAGAGTAGGTCTCATTTTTCTAAATATTCAGCTATTCTCTAAAGCAAAGATTTGGAATGAGAAAACAATTTGAGTGAAGAATTGAATAAAATAGAATTTGTAATCGAAATATTGGAAAGGATGTCTTTACTACTCCACCACCTTTGCAACTACTTCTAAATACCATTACATAATTACCTTTTACAAGGGCTTTGCACATAGTAGGCACTTAATAAATATTTGTTCAGTTGGACTAAAGAACTATAGCTAAACCCTGACATTTTCTCAAGTATGAACAAAAACCTATAGGACACAGATTTCCCTAAATGAATCCTGTAATGACTGATCTTGTCTGTGAATGACTAATCTTGATGGTCTTTCCCAAATGAGACATTTGCATCCTTGTTTTCCAAAACAATATCAATAAGGAATTTTATAAAGATATCATAAACTCAAACAACCTAATTGCCACTAACTAGAAAATTATTTCGGCTCAGCATATGATGGTTATGATACTTAAAAAAACAGCAGGGGCAGGTAGGTGGCGCAGTGGATAGAGAGCACCAGCCCTGGAGTTTGGAGGACCTGAGTTCAAATCCAGCCTCAGACACATGGCACTTACTAGCTGACCCTGGGCAAGTCACTTAACCCCAATTGCCATACAAAAAAAAAAGACAGACAGAAAGAAAAACAGCAGAAGCAAAAGAGTTAACTTATATGCTAAAGACATGCCAGATAACTTTTTTTTAACATACATATAAAGTACCTTAAGGCATAGTTGGTAAAACAGATTAGCCTTAATAATCAGGGCCATCTTGGTTTCTTTATTCTTTTTTTCAAATCTATATCCCACAGGTATGAAAGCTAGTACATAAGTAAAATAGCGCTTCAAAGAAATAACATGACTGGTATCACTGCAAACTGACTTCTGCTTAGAACCGTATTTTAGAAGAATTGGCCATTTGCTTATTTCATGAAACTTTAGCCCATTCTTCATGTCAAAAAATTCATTTTGAACCCAACAAATGCAAGCAAGAATTTAAACATTTTCTAAAACTGGGCAGAGGTGCTACTGTGATGAAATGTGAAAGAGGCTGCCGCCTAAAGAGACGAGTCGGTGGGGCCAGTACCCAAGGCTTGTTGGCATCAAGAAATGTGAGCTTTTCTTTTCAATCATGTTTATCTTCATTTAAATGTAACTACACCAGGCCTGACGTTCTGCTGTTTTAAGAAGTACAGCCAGGGAAAAAGTATGCGGTTTTAGAGAATAGGTTATCAAGACAAAGTCTGACCAACAGACATATGCACAAGGGGTAACGAATATAATTCCATGATGGCCCATGTAGGAAAGTGAGATTTTGTCTTCCATTGAGGACAACTGGAAGAATGAATACCATAAGCCAACTCTACACAAAAGAAATCAGACAGTGTGTGAGAATGCTAAGGATTAACCTATTTATTAAAAATACCAGACATGTCTATAGGAGAGTCAATAGCTTTCACCCAGGCCAGCTCCTATGCAGAATGCAACTCCAGGGCACAATAAATAAGCAAGGGATGATATTTCCATCTCGTAAGCTTGTCTTGTAAGCTCAGGGCCCAGGTGATCACACACCATGTGTATTATGATCCCAAATAATACTCATTCACATAAGCAATATTTACAATAAGCCCACATGGAATAACAGGCTGAATTTGAACTCTCTTCCACTCCTTGCCCTTCCCAACAAACAATTCAACTTTGGATTTTCTAATAAAATAGAATGCTAGTGAATACAGATGGAAGATGGGATGAATCACCACTGTCTACTTCATTAACAGTCATATAATTATGTAATCAAAGTAGTTCCTATCCAGAGAAATATGAAATCAGAGTAGAGGTTTTTCAAAGGGATACTTTTGCTATGTTTAGCAGAGATAAAGGATTTGTTGAATGACCCTTTATCCTTTTAAATCACCATTCTCTTTTGTTCTCATTAATAATTAGCACTGCCCTCCACCCCATTTATAGGTCCATTGAAGCTGTTCCAGAAGTACCTCCGCTAATTCTCTTCCTAGCCGGGAGTTCTCGCTGTGATTTCTTTTGATTTTGGTTGGCACTTTCCACAATCCTTTTTTGTTAATCATTTCTAGAAAGCATAGGAATTGTGCAGGACAAGTATCACAAGCAAGATTTTAAAAACTGATTTATCAGTCTGTGGTTTTGGAGTCTGCCCTGATGAACCATTCAGCCCAACTGCATTTCTTCTCAATGCTATACTATACTTCCCCTAGGAAAGTGGACTGTTTGGGCCATGCTGCTCCTTTTCCTTAGCAATCATCTTTTTACCAAGCTGCATGGTTTCCCCAGTATTTTTGCCACTGTGCTTTATCTTTGGCATAGATTCTTCTAATGTAATTTTTAATTCAGTCAAAGGCTTCTTGCTGTTCTTGTCTAAAGTACTCTGTATAATCTGTGGCATTTTAATCATGAGGTCAGTCCTTCAGGATTAGTCCAGACTCTTTACAAATTCAGAAACTGTAATTCTTCCAGTATGCACCCAGGACACTCCTCCTTACTTCACAGAGAGGTGTGTGTGTGTATTTATACGCACATAGTAGATGTATTAATTTAATGATTTCCCAGTGGGGTGGGGTAGTAGCAACATCAGTGGATAGCCTCTGTTAGGAGTTTTTAACCTGGGCACCATGGATTGATTTCAGAAATGGTCCATGAACTTCGATGAGAAAAAAAAATATTTCAATATAATTTGTTTCCTTTGTAATCCTACATGTTTTATTTTATGCACTTGGAAACATTATTCTAAAAAAGGACCCACAGGTGTCACCACACTGCCAAAGGAGTCCATGATCCCCACAATAAGATGAAGAACCCCAATTCTATGTGCAGTTTACCAAACAACACCTGTACTTAACAGACATCAAACACACCAAAAGATGGATATGTGCATATCCTTATACTAACCCTATTTAAATACATTAAAAACCACACACCATGTCTATACAACACTTCCTCTCCTTCAAATAATGGCCTTAGCATCCTCATGTTTATCACTTGATTACAAAGATCCTCATTTTATAGCATTTATTCCATTTCATGTTGTATGTGCTTCATGGGTGATAGGTGCAGGGGAAGAAATTAGTTTGGGAAGTATCAAATATAAATACCCCAGAAGGGAAAATGTACCTTGAACAAGAGAAAAAACATTCCTGCTTTCCTATTTCTTATTGGTTCACTAGAAAAAAAAAATCAGCATTTGAATTTTCCTTGTAGCAAGATTGAAACTGATTATATGGCAGATTTCCTAACTGTCTGACATCATGATCAGAACTATTAGTGACACCTTGGGTTAGCTCCCAGCCTCACTGAGATTCAAGGGAAGTGCACAAAAAACCCTCAGGCCAAGTCTGGAAGAACAAAGGTTGTGTTTGTTTCTTCTGTCCCACAGAGGAGAAAGAAGGGTGTGGTTTGCACTAGGAGGGGACAGATTACCCCCAGAATTAGGAGAGGACAACACCTGCAAATGTTGTCAAGTCACTGTGGCCTGGGACTACAAAATGAGAAATCAGATTTGCAGTGGTATATTTATTCTTTAAAGAAAACAAATTGTCACAATAGTCTGTCATCCCTCAGATGCAGATCAGGGGAAAATGGCTGCCTTGTGGCTTCTGATTCCGTTTCGTTTCCTTCCCCATTAACAGCTGTTCAGTCCTTAAACTTAAAACAGAGAAACCAGACCCATTATGGGAAAACTACTTTGTCCCTACTGTTTATCCTAAGTTTGCTTTTCATCCAAGGGGAAATTCATCACTAATTAAAGCCCTTCATTAGCCAGTTATCACCCTTAAGTTTTCTTTTCCTTTTAGCCACAAGATACCACAAGGGTGTGAGCTATGAAGGCTTACTCACTAAAGAGCTTTGCCATGGCAGACTCTTCTAACACACTAATGAAACAGTAACTCACGTGAATCATACCAGGACATGTTAGAATAACCACAGAATAAAAAGGCCACATCTTTGACACCTGCAAGATTACAAACTGGAGGGTATTTAATAGATGCTTGTTCAATGATCTGAAAGTCTTGGAATCTCAAGAGTTGGAAGGGACTTGAAAGGTCATTTAAGTCCAACCTCCCACCCCTCCAGTAAGCCCTCTGGAACATCTCTGACAAATGGTCAACCAACCAGCCTCTTCTGTCTAGGACCTCCATTGGTAGGAAGCTCACTACATCCCAAGGTGGACTGTTCTATTTCTGTATAATTCTAATGAGCAGGAGTAAGAATTCTTCCTTGTACTGGACCAAGATCTGCCTCCTTGACGCTATGTGCTTATCTGCCTCTACTCTCTGGAACCACACCCAACAGTCTAATTTTTTTTTCAATATTTTTTTTCCAATTTTTCAATTCAATTTTTTCAATATTTTTCAATATTACATTACTTCAAAAAACTGAATATACCACATCTTCCTCTTAACAGCACTTCTCTTTGATCCCCAGGTCCTCCAACCATTTTTTGAGTGGCTTGCTTTTAAGTGAGCCAACCACCCTGGTTGTCCTCCTACGGCTCATAAATGTTCCCTATTAAAATGTGGTGCCCAGAACAAAGCTCAGGCACTCCAGGCATGGAGGACAATAGAATGATATACAACTATACTCCTGTCAATAGAACCAAAGATTAAACTGGTTTTTTTTAAATTATATGTTACAGCTGCTTGATTTCTGACACAAACTGTTAGCCAGTCTAGATCCTTCTCATTCTGTATTTGTACACTTGATTTTCAAAAAACTAAATGTAAGATATTATACTAGCCTCCCGCCCCCATGATATTTTACCTTGTTCGTCTGGGGCCCATCGTTCCGGCCTATCAAGATTATTCTGGAGCTTGACTGTCATCTTCAGAATCCAGTTTCTGATACTTCCTATCCATGTGACCTTTCGCAAATCACTTAATTTCCATGGACCTTGGTTTCCTCATCTGTAAAATGAAGGGGCTGAACTAGATGGCCTGTGAAGCCCCTTCCAGCTCTCTATATGAACCACTCATTTGCTATCCAACCCAGCTTCCTATTACCTACAAATTTAATCAGCAGGCTTTGTATGTTTTCATATAAGTCATTGGCAACTAGGAGGTCAAGTGCAAGGACAAAGTCCCATGGGCTCTGCCAGGGTGGCACCAAATCATTCACAGGGATCTGCTTATCAGTACTGTGATCCAAGCCATACTTTGTCCCATCAATCAAAAGGATGTCATGAAAAATTTGGTCAAATGCCATGCTCAAATCAGAATGCCCATGGCATCCCCCATTCCATTTCCAAGAAGAAGGGTCAGTTTTGCAAACATGTCAAACCCAAAGCTGGTTTTGGGTCATTGTTTCTCACCTTTCCCTACAAAGCGCCTCTCTATCTGCATCACTAACTAGCCTTTAGCACAGAGCAAAAACGTTTTATCTTCCTTTTAGAGAAATGGAAAAAAAAAATGGTGCAAATGACGTAAAGCAAGTCGGTATCAAACTTGTGCCCCAAGGTACCAGATTAGCTGAGGCTACCTGTTACTAGGTAAGACAACCTATCTTTGTTTGCATCCAGCCAAGAACGGTGTGGATAACATAACATGTTAGGCTCATATTTGGGTTTTCAATATAGTACATATCCCCTCTAAACTTAGTCACTTCTAAGTGAAACTTTGTAATCTTTCAACCACACATACCATCTCCTCTAAATCTATCTGGGTCATAGGCTTTGATGAGTGGTCCTCACTCTATTACTATTTATTTTCTACTTTTTTTCTGTCTGTGATTTCTTTGAAAGGCCCATGGATAAAGTTCTAAAAATGCCTTCTCCTTTCCTTCCATTAGCTGTCCCTAAGAAATGGAGACATCCCCACATGACTTCTCAAGCTACAAACCCTTCTCAGTCCAGGACCTAGCCCAAAAGGATGCTGGCTTCTGCTAAAACTTGGCTCAAAGCAGACGTTGATAGAAACAAAGTAATGGGTCCAAGAGTCCTCAGAATAATGAAGTTACTTTGGCTCTTCCCTACCTCCAACCAGTGATTGTTTTACATCAAGAAATAGTTTATTGTAGGCATGTTAACACTGCAAACTCTTAATATCACACCAGAATGAATCAGACGGGCCTTGCTTGTAAAAAGATGAGCAGGCAGACCAAATCAGTGGATGAGATACATTACTGAGATGAGCAAAATAGGAGCAAGGAAGGAAATTCCTCCTTTCCCACCCTATCCACGGTGTGAAGCCTTCAGAACACCTTCCTCCAAGGGATGTTCAAGGTACCTCATCTCAGTGGTCCTTTTGCCAGCACCTACTGGGCGCAAGAAGCAGGATGATGGAAGAAAACATCTGTGGCCACTTCAAGCCACAGAACTCATCTTCTCTTTGTCTACCTTCTGTAGAAGGGCAAACAACCCGAAATCCAGCTCATCTGGCATGAGGCAGGCAAGCCTGCCATTCAAAAGGACCAAAGTAATATTGAATTGCCATTTCCTAATAGCGCCTGGGAGATAGGACTTTTGAAGAGAACAAAAGGAAAGCTTTAGAACGTATAGGAAAGAAACACCATTTCCCCCAATCTTTGAACACAAAAAATACCCAGTGTTTCCATGAGCAATGAAATGAATTGGTGTTCTTTGTCATTGCCGTCTCTTCTCTAAGTCTAGTGTTTGGAGGGCTGGGTCCAAAGACTGAATTTCTCCTCCCTCTCTTGGGTGCTTATCTTTCCTGCCCTGTACGAGTCTCTCTACACTGATGTGTCTCTGACAGGACACTGGCCTGTGCCAATGAGCTAACGGGCAAATGAAAAGAGTTTGCCTCTTTGAGAGAAAAGTTCTTCTGCCTAGCAGAGTTCTCTATGTTCAAAGAAAGGAAAGTAGCCTAGTCCATCCAAAGGGTTTCTATTTCAAAAATGCAGTTAGTTAGTGCTTGAAAAAGTTCCAAGTTCTGCTGATGGTAAGCGGTAAGGGGAGAGGATTGAAGTGCCCATTCAACAGAAAATTTGATGTTTAAAAAAAGAGCTCCAAATGTGTTTGTCCAAAGTCCATCCCACAGCATGCTCAAGGCAGATGCCAGAGCGCCAAAGTTTCTCACAAGCCATAGCACTCCCCAGTAATAGGCCCCTGACTCCCCATGGTGACAAACTTAAAAACAGGCCACAACAGGGAGAGGGAAGCAGTTGGGAGAGATTGGGCTTCCTGACGTCCCCATGTACTGCAGCTGGTCTGGCCGAGTGTCAGTCACGAAGGCGCCGCCAGGACCCAGTGTGTTCACAGCTGGCTGCTGCAGGAGGGCTCGGGGAGGTAGGTGTCTCCAGAGAAGCAAAGGGATGGAGGTCTGCAGACTCAGGCATGGGAGGCTCCTTGGCAGGAGAAGGAATGGGAGAGGTTCGTTCCATCCCAGCTCTGCTGGCATCTTGACAGTGTGTACTGCCGAAAATCTGACCCTCTTTATCTAGAGCCGTGTTCTGCAGGGGGAAACAGCACAGGAATAATAAGGTTAAATCCACCACCCACATTAATTAGTATCACTGTTTAAAATACCAAACACCACACAAGGAGGGAGCATGCACTGGACTCAAGAACAGACCAGGAGAAATGACACTGGGCTTTTTTCCCAACAAAAACTCAAGGGAAACTCCCTCAAGGTCACCCTACCTCAAGAACCAGGCCATGCCAATAGCATTCTGCTCTAATGCACCAAGCATGCCGGCAGAGGGGGCCTGCCTTCTTTTTGGGCCAGGGCAGTAGGGGGAAATGGGATCCCAACATGCCCAGTGCAAACTTGGAGACAGCTTTTACTCCATCTCTGGCTAAGATTCTCAACTGCACTTCCCACCCACTGCCCCGTTCCCCTGAAAGCACCCTCAGTAATAAGCAGAACTGTTTTGCTTTCAAATGTTCCCAGCATCATTCTTCCCCAACTTAAGGAAAGAGATTTCTTGATCATAGAAAGGAAGATAGCCCTGCCAGTGTTGTGAAGGGCTGGTTTGGGGCAGCTCACCAAATAAGGGAGCACTGCCCTCAGTGAGACAGGCTGGACCACAGACCACCCCATGCACTGGCAGCGAAGGGCTGGATTGGGGCAAAGACACGGGGACTTTGGGCCCCACTGCTCCTCTTTGAAGCTTGTCAAATGAAAAATAAGAGGGCCAGCCTCAGTGATCTCCAGGGTCTTTTCCAGTTCTCATCCTGCAAAATAACCTAGTCCCTGTTAAAAAACAAACAAACAAACAACCCTTTCAAGAGATCACTCCTAATCAGGCAGGGACTTTTCTTCCCCAAATGAGGCTTTGAGGAATCCTCAGTGACCCCAAGAAGGCTACCTGCAGCATCTTCAAGTCACTCTTGTTGGCTCTGGAGGAGGATCTGTCAGATCTCGTCTACCTTTTCCCTTATACCCTTGTTTCTGTGTGTTTTTGCCAGTCCTCCAGTCACAGTACAGTTAGCCACTGCTCCTCAGATATCGCCCTACTATCCAAGTACATGCAATGTGGCACTTCATAGATTCACCCGCTCAGAACAAATGCTCTGCTGACAAGCTAGGCTCCCCCAGATCAGAACCTAGGAATAAAACCCAAGTAAATCAAACAAGCTCTGAGAGGGCTATAATGCTAAATTCATCTCTCTGGAGCTCGAGGACCTCATTCCCCTTCAAAATGAGGAGGCTAGATTAGAGGCTCTTTCTCTAAGGTCTTTTCCAGCAAAAACTTGCTGTTATTTCTTAGGGAGAACAATCTGTGGGACAAAAGATTCAGAGAAGATGGAAAACAGAGATCAGAAATGCTAATCTCCTTTGACAACTGCCTGGCATCATAGATAACAGAATATTAGAGGAAGAGGATAACTCGGACATCAGCTAGTCCAACCCCCTTAATGTAACAGGTGAGAAAGCTAAGGGTCCAGAGAAGTGACATATTTTGCCCAAAGTCATACATCTAAAAAGAGTTAAGAGATGGGATTCAAAACCGGGTCTCCAGACCACAATCTAATACTGTTACCATTGCAGAGTGCATATTAATGGAGGTCCTGTAACCCAATCATAAGAGCCTGTAGGGCAATCAAACTGATAAGAAAAGCCCCCTTTCCCAAGCTCCCACTCTCTCCATCTTAGGGAACAGAGGGAAACCAAGCAAGCCCTGAGTTATTTCTCCTGTTCTCCTCCTGTAAATTAGACCAACACGTATGTGCGCAGCAGAACAAAGCGTTGCAGTTAGTACGTACCGTTGCCTTGGACCTAGTCAGAGGAAAGCAATGCAGGCGGTGGAAGAGGAGGAAGAAGGAAGGAAGGAAGCAAGGGACAGAAACTAGACTTACTTTAAACAGAACCAACACCAATTAAACATGTTTTTTTAAATTAAGGTACCTCTACCACCACTCCCCAGCCCAAACCTACCCTTAAATAGAAACACGATTCTGGCCAGAGGAAACCCCTTTCTCCTGAGCTGTACCCAAAACACTACTCTTGTTAATATGACAGCAGTGAGCCAGGCTTCTCATTGCATTTCCCCATCTCTACCACAGGATGGCCTCACCTCCATTTAACTGAGACTAGGAAGCAGCCTCCTGAGGCGAACGTGGCCCATCCCAACTTCAAGCCTCCTGGGACTTCCATCTGAAAGGGATGTCCTTCAGGAACTGCCCATCACCCAGAAAAGTGCTGTCCAATGAGGCCAAACTGCTTATGGAATTCAAGGCCCCTCTCTTGCCCTCAAAATCCTGTTCTCAGAAATTGACTTTCTTTGCCCTGGGCCATGGTTACAAATACCTGCCTTAAAAAAAATTTTTTTTTAAATAAAAGAAATGCATTCGAAAACAGAAAACCCCAAACCGCCACTGAGATGTTGCTCTTTCTGATGCTGTAGGTCATAACTAACGAGTGTCCTACCAAAAAATGGAGGGTAGGAGCCATTTTAATGCTTCCCCTGCACCATCTGTTTTTTCAGTTGGTGGAAGGCAGCGTGGCCAGAGGAACGCAATCACACGAATTACATTTTCTCAGACTATGCTTCATCGGCTGAGAAGGCTATCAGGACGTGAAGGAACCAGAAAACCCCACACCCGTAAGAAGCTAAGCGCTGGACTGTGGCAGAAATCTGAGACAAGCATGCAGATTGAAGAAGGGCTGCAAATTAGAAACTGCTCTTATTAAGCGTAGCATTTTTAATACCAGGATTCTGCTTCACGTTTCTCCACAGTCTCAGCAGGATAAAGAATGGAACTCTGAAGTCCCCCTCAAACTGTCAAATCAAACTGTCAAATAAAAGGTAGATAAAATCATCAACCTCCCTTTTGTTAGCTCTGTTAGCAAATTCCTCTGTCCTTCTGATGGGGTTTCTTGGCACAAGCGTTGACCAGATTCTGTGAGAGGGAGGGGGGACGTCTCTGTAAGACCAATAAGATGGTGCCTCCACCTGTCTCCCTGATATGTTTATGAACTATTCCTCTGTCATGGTGCCCCCAAATGGGCAGGCGCCAGCCTTACTCACTATTGGGAGACTTACTGGTGGAAGGAAACCCTGTTTATGTCCCCGCTTCAGGGAGTCTTCTAATTTAGAACTAGACAGAAGGTCTCCCACAGGGTCATTGTGGGGAAAGAGTTTTGTAAACTTTCAAGCACTGAAATTTTTTACTTTATCTCAAGAAAAGAATAATGCAGTCTCTATTAATTGGTGATGAGGATGGCAGGAAGGACATCAAAGCAGTATATACTTCCATCACACAACGATGCCCCAGCCCGTGGGTTGTGCCAGAGGAAAGTAATCACCCCCCACCCACCCAGGGAATACTCCTCTAAACTGGATTTTTTTGGGGGGAGAGGGGGAGATTTAGGTGGAGAGGAAGAAAGATAAGCCAAACTCCATTACTGAGCTTCAAGGATGAATGAGAATCATTACGGTCCAAATTCCTCTGCCTTCCTCTGGCCAGTCTGAATGGGACCATTGTCATTCAGTATTGACTTAGTAACGCTCTTGTCAGGGTCCAAACCATTCTGCCCTCCTCCCCCTAGTCTCAACAGGACTGGTGATATTTGGCGTTGATTTAATAATGCCAATAACGTGCAGAGTTATGTAGGGAACACAGACAGGCTTCTGCCAATGAGCTGGAAATGAGGACTCACAAGTCACATGGATACACAGAGCTTTTTCCAGAACACCTGGGAGTTCCCAAGCACTCCTAAATGACTCTACATTTCATGGGTGTGTGTAATCCCTGGTCTGAAAGTTAGCCATGAAGCACTGTGCTGGTCGGTGAGAGTAGGAGCACTGTTTCCAATCAACATGAGATCAGAATACTGTAATGTGAAAGGGTCCAGACAGACTGATTGAGAAAGAAGGTCGAGAAACCCTGTTTTCTGTAAAGGAACCAGCAATTAGGCTTCCAGATTCTCTGCCTATGTTTGCCGCTGAGATGGAGTGACTTACGCAATGACCCTGGATTTCCCAGGGTGTAAACCTCAGCTTGGTAAAGAGCGTGCCTCTTAGGAATGCTCTGAAACCCTAGTTCAATTAGCAAGAGCACTGGTTAAAGATTCTGCCCATACACACCATCTCCTACCTTGGAGCTGTGCATCCAGTTTCTAGAATGCTGGCTCACCATTATTGTCTTCAAAGCCATTTTCTCCAAGTTCCTCCCCCATCTGCCTGGCTTGAGCAAACACGGAAGTGCTCTGCCTTCTCCTGACATTATACAAGGCTTGACACTCTAAGTGGAATGCAACAGAATCACTGGCTAATGGGCTCCTGCTGTTGGCTAAGCCAAGATGGTTCTCTTCAAAGCTGTCAAACCGCAGTTGGGACAGCCTTCTAGTCACTCACTTTCTCAGGCTTTTTAGCTGAAGGCAGCTAAAGGATCACAAAAGCCAAGATCGGATAAACCCTCCCTTCACTTTGGCCCGGCATACCCAAATAGACCTGGGGCATGTCAGAGGGCTCCGTCACTTTCTCGAAGGAAAACAGCCCCCAGCTTCTACTGCTGAGATTTAGCTCTGAGCTGGGAGAGGCTGCCAGGCAAACAAAGTAAACCAAGGGGCCAGCTTCAAAGGACCGATGAGGCTGAGGGGGAGAAGGGGAAGAAGTGACCTTTCCACAAACCTGCATGTGGCACGAGACCAGAGAGAGTCAAACAAGAATACTGCTGGGGCTCAGATAAACAGCACCGTGGCCCTTAGGGTCTGAGGCCGGGGGGAGGGGTGGCAGAAAGGCCCCTCGACAGGCAGACAAATGAGCCAGTCTCCTCCACACTGAGTTCCCGTGTAGTCTACAATGTGCTATTAAACCAATCATTTTCAATGTGATGAGGATGTCAATACCAATCCAGGCTATCTTCCCTCCAAGAAGGAGGGGGAGGGGAGGGTGAATGGTCAGGGACATTTCTAAGAATGTGAGAGCTTTGAGAGGGAAGGATAAAACACCTGGAGAAGGCCCAGGCTACTGGAGAATACCCCAGCTAGGAGGACACTTACGGGCTACAAACAGGCAGTCATGACTGATTCTGAGCCTAAAATCACCTCAATTCTAGAATCCCAGTTTCTGGACACTCAGTGCCAATAAGACAGGTATCACTGTAACTGGATTCTTGGTTGTCATGGGAAAAAAACACAAAACAACGAACATTCTCCCTAATGGGCATTAGCCCATTAGCCTCACCTTCAGGCAACTTTTCTCTCTGACTTCACTATTTTGATACTACTTTCTATCTTCATGAGCCAAGAAATCACTTAAGCTGCTCTTCATTCCAGGGTCCAAATCATTATGGATATGTTATCTTCTGGATCGATGAGGCTTAGAATCTCTTGTAGAGAAGCTTTACTTAGAGTCTAAGCATCACAGAAAAAGAGAGCAGACCCAGGGATACCAGAGAGCCTTATGTAAGGCTAGGATGGTAGTTGTTATTAGAAGGGAAGAGTTACCAGATACCATTTGTCAGCATATGCCAAGGTAGGTGGGTTTTCCCCAGGACTCACGTAGTCCATGTGTATTGCTCTTCAAGTCTGAGGTATTGGGACCAATCGCACGACATGGAAGCTTCATGTTGTAAGACAACAAAGACGAGGGATGTCCTAGCTAGCCTCAGCACTGGGGGCATGGGAGCATGCTGCCCTTGCGACCCAGATGGGGGGCCCTTTCCTATTTACTTCAAAAGATGAGCTTGTGGTGTGCCTGTGGAAGATCGTCGAGGCTGGGCCCACTCACCATGATGACGGAGACGCCGGTGTTCGTGCTGTTCTGTTTGGGAAGGGCATTGTTAAAATGCTGTTTCAGTTTACCTGTGACCTCAGCTTGCATATTATTCTCCTGGGGGGCATCATCCTATGGAAAGAGAGACACATGTGACTTCTCCAGCTCCCAAGGCCAACAGGAAGGAAGATGATAAACTCGTCTTTGTCCTAACTGGGAAATCTAAAACACGAGCTAAAGAGAGCCTGGCCCTGCCCAAGTCTGGGAAAGCAGTTCTGCCTGGCTGTTTCTCTTCTACCAGACCATGGCTCTCATTCAGAAAGCACCCTTTGCTACTCCACCCCTTTGGCCAAAACCACAGGTTCATCCTGGGCTGTACAGCTGGAAGGGGCTGCCAAAGGTCAGTGGATCCAACCCCCTCATTTTCCAGAGAAAGAAACTGGGGTCCAGAAATGGAAAGTGATCAGCCCATAGTTCTGAAGCCAGCTCCCCTGACTTCCAAGCCAATATTCTTTCTACTACAGAGAAGCAGATTTCAGTTAAAAAAAATACAGTGACTTTTTTAACTAGATCTGTCCAACAAGAGTCAGTGAGTTCCACCTATCACTGGACAACATTTAAGTAGAGACAGGGTAACCACAGTCACAAATAGTATAATGAGAACTACTATACTGGGTACAAGGCTAGACTAGATGACACCTAAGATGCCTTCCAACTCTAAGAGTGTTTGATTGTATGAAGCCTGTAGACACCTTCCTTGTCCATCCTGAACACAGGCCCAAGGTGCCAAGAACAAGAAAGGTCCCTGCCCCCCCCATATTTATAAGCCTACTAAACATATATTATATTCCACCACCACCCTTACAAGCACACAATAGTGAAACTGATTAACCATTTTATCATTTTAATTGACAATTTACTTAATTATTCATTTGCCACTGCTAATCAGTTGAGGAGCCTCAGAATTGCTAAGTGCCCACAACAACTTAATACCATACACAAGCCAAGAGGTACTGAATCCAAACATGGGGGCATAACAGAGCAGTACCCTAGGCTAACATGACAGCTTCAGTTCTCCCTACTCCAGGCATGAAGGAAATGCAAATTATCATATGGCCCATTAGTTGATTGAGATTCCCTGCAAAGCCTCCCAGATTCAAGAAGTGTAGTCCACATCATCCAGGCACCAACTAAATATTTTTTAGAACATCATTGGTCAGGCCATGAGGTCATCCACGGGAAGAAAGAGCCTCTCAACCTCCAACAAAGGTGAGGGTTATTAATGGCAGATCCATAGTCCATGGATGAGCTTCAGGAGTTCTATGAATTTGGATGAGGGAAAAAAAATCTTTATTTTCACTAGCCTCTAAATGGAATTTAGCATTTCTTTTAATTATTTAAAAAATTCTTCAAAGAAGGGGACCAGAGCCTCACCAGACTGCCCAAAAGGTCCAAAGCTTTCTCTTACAGAAAACAAACAAAAAGGTTAAGAACCCCTAATCTAAGGCCTCTCCTAAGCAGACATATCCTTTCTTTACTCACTCTATAGCAGGTCACATTTCTAAAAAGCTTTAAAGTTTATAAATTGCTTTACATACATTCTCTTAGCTGGTCCTCACAACCACTGAACCATTTGAAGTAGATAGTGTAAATATCTACTATTGCTATTGCTGACAGTAGAGTAGGAATCCCTTTTTATATAGAAAAGGAAGCTGATGCTTACAGAGATGGAGTGACTTTGCCTGCAGTGACCGTGGCTAACAGAGCATAATGTTCCACCTCTTTACCTCACGGGATGGCATGCTGAATGTCAGAGGTACACAGAGGGTCCGAGTGTGGACATGAGAAAATACAGACTCCTTGACTGCTAAAGTTAAATGTGGAACTCTACCCACACTTGAACTATGGAAAACAGAAGCAACATGGTGTGAGGAAGGCAGGTCGCCATTCATGAGAAGAAAAAGAAGGTACTTACTGATACCCAGGGATGACTTAGGATCTGTCCTGCTGTACATCGAGCTTCCACATTGACTTGCAGCATTTGGGTGATTAATTCCTGTGAAGAAATAAAGAAGAGCAAAGAGCAAGGGAAGGAGAGGCAAGAAGGAGATGATGGTCCGATGAGCTGCTGTGCTCCACCTGTTTGAAGGCCATTATCACTGGCCCTTTCCCAATATTTCCCTGGGAGAATGGTGATGTGGGAGGGGTGTCTTTCAGATGGTCAGGCCAGTTTTCACAAGTGGATCTAAAGACTCAGACAAGGATGTTGTGACCAAAGGAATCTAAAGATCAGTGAACACTCCAGTGTAATCCATCTGATGCCATGTATGGCTCTGAGCCCAGAGAGGGGATGAACAGGTACATTTACCCATCCTTTGCATACATCTACCTTCCTGTATGTGACTCCAGAGCCTGGTGTACATTCTGCATAGGCTGCTCAGAGGCTGAGGCCGGTGTGGTCGGTCACCACGGACAGCACTCAGCCAGATGGCTGGACACCCAAAGTCCTCTTTCCCAGACTCACAGAAGCATTGGGAGACAGGCTTACCTTTGCTGAGTCAGTGATGTTATCCCAGTAGGGGGCCGGAAACTCCAACTTTCCAGCAAGGATCTGATCAAAGAGGTCTTCCTGAAGGTTATTCTCACTACGACAGTTTTCCAAAAAATAGAATCAAACAGTTAGAAGGTCATGTGGCAAGGGAGGGTAAGGAAACAGAGAAAAGTATTCCAGCCTAGACTAACTATGTTCCTCAAGGATACATGACAGAGGAATTCCTGCTGCTGAAACAGTGTCTATAATTTAGTGCTTTTTTTTTTAAGTAAAGGAAGATTTATTTCTTGAGTAAAGGTTATGGACCATCTGGCTGTAAGCAAAGCATATAGGTAAAAATGTATATAATGTATACAAATATGTGTATATACATTTATATATTATAAATATATTTATATAATAAATTCACATACACACATACATACATGTATATAAATATATATATATATTTTACCTGTATGCTTTGCTTGTATACATACATATGTGTATGTATGTGTGTATATATGTGTATGTGTATACAGCTCCATTTGAAAGCTCTGAGTCTCTAACTTAGTAGAGAAATCTCAAAGAGTTGCTCCTAAATTCCCAAGCTACTAAGGATCAGAGGAGGCCCGGTTTTAAACTTAGGTTTTTCTGACTAGCATCACCCAGCACTCCACCCATGTCACCTCATGGCCCCTCATTTCCTTATGGGATTAACCAATGACCTCCAATGCCACAGTACCAGGAAGCAGAGGCAACAAAGAGAAATAACATCCATGAACAAATGCAAACCTCAAATTTTAGCAAAGAATATCAGCCTCCCTTAACTCAACCCTATCATCTGACTGAAAAATGACAGCAGTGGTAGTCATCACTAGCATTTATACAAAGCTTTAAAACTGACAAAATGCTTTACATGTGTTATCACATCCTATCCTCATAACAACCCGAAAGAGGTAGGTGCTAGGATTATCCTTATTTTACAGTTGAGCAAACTGAGGCACAGGGAGGTGAAAGTGACTTGTCCGAATGGTGAGTGTGAGGCAAGTTTCCAACTCCTAAGCCTGCCTGTGTCCACATTTTTAAGAAAGATGCCCTGATCAGCTAAACTAGAAGAAGAAGAAAAACCTAAGGGGTCTAAATAATCCTCAGTACAAACCAAACCATGTGGGGAAGAGTAAACCAGGCACACCCAGCCACAGTAGTCATTTACTTCAAAGGTCAGAATGCAAGCTCATCATTCTTAAAGACCTGGGCATTTTCCCATTCATCCAGTTGTAGCTAAGAGTCCTCTCCCCCTACCCCTTGATCCTTGACTACAGTGGGCTCAAATATGATTGGTCCAACATGTTTCACAAACATTTGTCAATCTGATTCCATTTAAGGGAAAATTTCTAAAATATTGCAGGAAAAAAGCAAAGACAGGACACTCTTAACTTCACACCTATGCCCTTTGGCAAGCAACTGTCAATGGCTAGTCTATCAATACCTCTATTGTATGGTATTTTATCTCCAAGCCCACGCCCCTACTGAAAGAGGTGGGGGGAGTGGGGGAGGACTGTTTCAGACCAAGATTCAACTGTAGGAATGGAAAGACACTGGAGCCATTTAGCTGTTCCCCTTAAGATTTTCTCAAAAACCCACTGAATTGCTCAAAGCAGGCCAAAATTCCTATAAGAGGATGGTCATACCACCTCTCCTTCAACCAAACAGACACTGACAGCCAGTCTCTGTTTGTTCAGGGGTAGAGATAAGTAAGCATCTGAAAGCCAAAGACTGGAGCTCTGTGGGGATAGGGTAACCTCTCTACCATTGGCCATATAAGATGGTGAATCATTTGTCATTAAATTCAGCTATAACTACATAAGAGCCAAAGCTGGAAGGGACCTTAAAAGTTAATTTAGAGAGAGGAAACAGAAACTCAGCAAAATAAAACGACATTCCCAAGGTCACATGGGTAGCAAATAGCAACTCAGGTTTCCAGAGTCCTCTACGACCCACTGCCAGTTATTTGATAGCAGATTATCAAATTCGAAAAGAGCTTGGGAGCCAAAAACAACCAGACAGGGCAAGAAGGTTCCTTAGGTTTACTGTGCATCTGACTTTTTCAGATTTCAACCTATGCCTCAGCTGCTGTCTCACCCTGGAACTTCCCTCAGCTCCCTGGAATATAGAAACTGGCCAGTGGCCTTCTCACACTGCAACAGCCTATACCACACCAGCCCCATTCTGCCACTGCCAAGTTCCTCCTTCTCCTTCCATTTTGGGGAAGGATGCAGGTCAGCCAACTTTCATTCCCTTCTCTGTTATGTTTCGCACTCAGGTACCTTCTTTCTCTGCCCCTCCCTTCAGTTCCCATTTGTGTGCTGTATTCTCCCATTAAAATGTAAGCCCCTCAAGGACGGAGACTGTCTTTTTGCTAGTATTTGTATCCCAGCATTTGGCACTGTGGCTGATACATAGGAAAGGTTTAACAAGTGCTCAATGCCTTCCCTTTTTTAAGAGTTTCCTTCAAACGTACTTTTTCCCCATGTGTATAGAGGATTTACCTACTAGTTGCCTTCAACTTAATTCTTCTCTAGTAAGAGTGAAAGAAATATCTAAGGATGGCATCAAATATTACATAATAAAAATAGTTCATTTTTATATAGCACTTTGGGTTTTTTTTTTAAAGTGTCTTATAGACATATCATTGGAGCCCACAACGTGCCTGTAAGTTCAGGGTTTCAAGTTACTCCTCAATCTAAAGATGAGGAGGCAGCTTTTTTGAAGTTAAGTAATTTAGCCACAATCATGTAGCTATTAGGAGTCAGAGGTGGGATTCAAAAACAGAGATCCCTTGGCTTCAGGGCCCTTTCCACTATTATCAAGATGCTTCCAAGGACTCTGAACAAAAAAAAATTTTTTTTTTGGTTTGTTTTTTGATGGGGGAGGGAAAGGAAAAAAGAACAGGGACTAAACTAGAAAAGTAAACAGTAATGACCTATTTTGGTTAAGGTTTTTTCCCCCTGTTAATCTAGTAGTCAGGTCTAATTTACATATTTGTAAAAATCATTTCAGTTGGAGGGGAGGGGAGAGAATTATCTAAAATAGGAAAACTCTTAGGTTTTTTTTAACTAAAGAGACAGCTTTAAAAATTGTGACATTTTGGGTCAGAAGCCTCTAGAAAAAGTTATTCCTTGGTTGTGGATAGGTAGCTAAGTGGTTTAGTGGATAAATTGTTGAACCTTGAGTCAGAAGGACAGGAATTCAAATCCCGCCCCAGGCACTTGCCAGCTGTGTTAACCTTGACAAATCCTCTAACCTCTACCTCAGTTTCCTCATCTGGAAAATGGAGGTAATAATAGCATCTACCTCTCAGAGTCGTTGCGAAGATAAAAGGAAATATTTGTAAAATGCTTTACTTAAAGTGTTATAGGTCAAATTGCTTGAAAAAATAAGTAGGAGAACTAAGATATAAAAATGAAAGCGATCACTACTGAAAATTCAGAATTTAACAAACACCAAACAAAATGAGTATTTCCATATATAAAGTACAAAAAAAAGGATTGTATATGAAAACTGTGAATCTTTACATGTACCACTTGCTTGTTTCTATTTCCTTGTATTATGCTTTTTGCATTTTTAAAAGATGCCTCAATGACCCATTAGTCTATCTTTTTGCTGCTGCCTTACCCTTCCTTGCCCTTCCCACTAGGAAAAAAAATAGAAAAAGAAAAACAAAGCCCTTGTAAGAAATATGCATAGTCCAACAAAATAAATCACCATGTTGTCTGTATCCAAAAGTGTCTGGCAAACCCCTGCAGGGTGGGGTGGGGATGGGGGGCACAGGGAAAGGCTGGAAAACTTAAAACAAAAACCCAGGTTTAGATTCAGGACTACCACCCACTGCCTCCTATACAGCAGGAGGCTGGAAGAAATGCCCGAGCTGATTAGGTATCTCTTATGTGCCAGCTACCAAGCTGGACACTGGAAATGCCCATGCAAAAAAGGGAAACCATCTCTATATTCTATATCTCGCTGAGTGTTGTACCTTAGTGAAGGACCTACTCTAAAAGAGCCCTTCAAAGGCACAAGAGCTTAACCTTTGGCACTACGCTAAAGAGGTCCAAAACTCTAAAAAATCAGGCTTTTTTTTTTACAAAATGGAAAATTATCAAAATTGTTTCTCTCTTTTTTTTGTTCGTTTGTTTGTTTGTTTAGGCAGTTGGGGTTAAGTGACTTGCCTGGGGTCACACAGCTAGTAAGTGTCCAGTGTTTGGTGTGAGGCCGGATTTGAACTCAGGTCCTCCTGACTTCTGGGCCGGTGCTCTATCTACTATGCCACCTAGCTGCCCCTCAAAATTGTTTCTCAAAAGCATATTGCATTTATTGGATTCTGGGACAGAAAAAACCAAGGCTAACTTAGATACAGCCAGACAAGTGGAATGAGTAAAGGCTGGGTGGGATGATCCCTTTCTGTTTCACAAAATAAGAGCCTCCAGCTCCGTCTGAAAATGAAAAATCCTGAGTCCCCAAGAAACAGCAGCTTGGGCTGAGCAGCTGCACTTCTGGTTGCTTCTGATTCACTAGGAATGAACCCAGGTTACCGGTGCTCATGGGGAACAACAGCGATGAAAAAGACCTTGACCGAAGAATGTTAACATAAAATCGAGAAGGCTCCCAGGATTATAGAGGGAAGAAAGAAAGAGATTAGATTATGAAAGCAGAAACTAGAAACTCTGGGTTGATGATATGAGGAGTGTTGAAAGATCCTAAGCCCAAATTGTCTAGTGAACATCAAAGGAGCTGTGAAATTCTTACTCTGAAAGTGATCATCTATTTCACTCTCACAGAGAAGAAATGGGTCTTGAACTCAGAGCGCCAAGGGTTCAGGTCCAGCCCCAACACCTCAGGCTAGGTGAGCCCAGACAAGGTCCTTAACTTCCTTGACTGTCAATTCTAACATCTCCAAACCAGGTACTGAGACTATGGATTTCACAAGATTGTTGTGAATAAAGTTCTTTGTAGAACTTAAAGTGCTTTGCAAATATAAAATATTGCTCTACATTATTTTTCCATTATTTAAAACAACATCTTCATCTTTTAGAACCAGAGAGCCCTGTGATGGTCATAACTGCTATCCAGAATGGCTCTATAATCTAAGAACACAGATACCTATGCATTAGGATCACTTCAGGCCCCTTTTACTACAGTCTGATGTCAAAGGAGGAACTGGACGTGTCTCCAGGAATGCCAGGATTAAAATGATTAATTCAAATTTTTTTCTGACTTGCTCCTAGACACCATGTCAAGAGGTAAATGTGTCTGTGAAAAGGAAATGTGTGTCTGCTCGGTACGTGGTGTCCAAGATGTGGGGTAACAGTAACCTGGCCTAGTAAACAGTAGACCCTGACTCCCTAAGTCAATGCAGCCGAATGACAAACCAAAGACTCATTTTCTGAGGAGTGAAGGGGAACTGAAAATTGCAAAGTAGTTCAAGCCCCCCCAAAAAAAACTCCACCAAAAAAACACCTTTTTTTTTTTACTTTGAAAAAACTGCCAGGAGTTGCACTTGACATTTGGCAACACTAGAGGGAGTTGTGGACACATTCATTTAGAAATGGATCTTTGGATCTTAATTTAGAACCAGAAGTGACCCCAGAGGTCATCTAGTTCAACCCCCTGCTCTTATGGATGGGAAAAATGAGGCCCAAAGAAAGAAGCTGTTGGCTCAGGGTCATACAGGTCATAAATGATGAATACAATGACCAATACATAAAAGACTCTGCCCCTGACTTCTAATGAGCTTGCCCAAATATTACAAATCAAATTAAGCCAGAAGGGCATCTCTGTGGTAACTGCATGAAAGCTCACAGCTTAAACTGTGAGCTTTCTTTTTTGTTTTTCAAGAAAAAATAAGTGAAAATAGCCACTATTACTACTAGACATGCTATTTTCAAAAAGTGCTTAGCACAGAGTAGGTGCTATATAAATGCCTATGACCTTCCTCTTTTCCTTCCCTTCCACACCCCCTTCCACACACAGATTGCATGGTAGAGTGGAAATTAGGTGGCTGAGTGGGGATTAAGTCTTGTCAAGCCTCAAAACCTGACTTTCCCTTGTCTGTGACATGGGGACATAATCCCTACGGTCCCTCCCGATGTGATCCCCAGAGCTGAGTCTCTGACCCACCTCTGCCTCACATACTCTGTATGTCCTCTTTACTCCACAAAACTCATTACCTCAGTCACCTACCAGGGCTAGGAGGAGATAGCACAGCACAAGGCAAAGAGCCCAGGATCAGGTCTAAGAGGGTCTGGGTTTAAATCCTAACTCTGCCCCTTACTACTTGTGTGACCTTGGACAGGTGACTTCTCTAGGCTTCATCTGTAAAATGAAGGATTTGAATGAGAGATCTCTTCTAGACCTAAAAGAAGGACGTATAAGAATCTCCCAGTCTGAGCTACAGCTCTGAGGTAACACAGGAAAATGGTCCATTGTGATCCTCCCTTTACATAGTACCTTATATTTACATATGGATGTATGTGCATGTATATATGTATGACATATGTATATATGTGTGTACGTATCTCCTTTCCCCCTCCTCCCATTAGAATGTGTGTTCTGTGAGGGCAGGGAACATGTTTCTGCCTTTCTTCGTATCCCTAGTACATAGCACAGTGCCTGGAACACAGGTGCTTAATAAATGTTGATTATTGATGATGATGATGATGATGAAGATAGACAGCTAGGCTACCTGTACACACATCTGTAAAATGAGCTGGAAAAGGAAAAGGCAAGCCACTCCAGTATCTTTGCCAAGAAAATCCCAAATGGGCTCATGAAGAGTCAGACATGACTGAAAAATGACTGAACAACAACAAAATTGAAAAATTAGGGGAAAAAAAGGGTTTATTTTGATAAGATTGAAGGAAAATTTTAAAAACATTGTACCGTAGTGTCCACTTCAAAATCTGCAGAGGCTGAGAGAAGGAAAACTTAATGTTTGTTTGTCTCCCTCTACAGGCAGCCTTGGCCCTCAGCCATGGCTCCAGATCACAGGGCCCAGAGACTGACCTGCGGAATGGTGGGAATCCACAGAGGAGGATGTATGTGATCACACCTGCTGCCCAGATGTCCACCTTCAGGCCATAGCTAGAAAAAAATAAGTAACAGAGAGGAGAAAAAAAATGTTACTTGGTCAGATTCAAGAACTTACCACACATAGCCCTGGCTTTGGTATTCAAGAGACCCTTCAATGCATATCAATCATTTCATAAGACATATGCCCTGCTCTGGCCCCTCAAAGGAGAACAGCACTTTCTTTCCAAGTCAGAATCTCATTCTATGCTATTTTGAATCCAAAGCCTGCAAACCCAAGTCTCCCAGTTATATGTGAAAGGTCCATAATAACCAAGGTCATGACCCTACATCTCCCCTCCCACCATACTCTCTCTCTCTCTCTCTCTCTCTCTCACACACACACACACACACACACACACACACACACACACACACACACCCCTCTTAGTGAGGCCAGAACACAGCTGCATACTCCCTGAAGCTTTGTTTTTGTGTAGAGAATGGCAGTACAATGAGGGAATGTCCTTGGCCCTTTAGACTAAAACTTCCAAAACCCCTAAAGACCTGTAGGAAACTCCAAGAAAAAAAAGAAGGATCCTTTGCAACACAGAGCTCCTGCCCTGAATAGAATGTAAGCTCTCTGAAGGCAGAAGCTATTTCTCATTTTATCTATGGCTCCCCAAAGGCTAGAACAGAATCTCATCAGTGATTAATAAATGCCTGTTAAGCTGAACAGTCCCAAGGTAGAAGGAAGACCTGCCTTCATTCACTTGTGATAAGGAAGAATAGGCATGTGCACGTACAGGAGCTGGAGGAGTCTTCTAGAGTGAGGAAAAATGACCGAGGATGTCCTACATCTCCCAGATCCCTTCTGAGTGGAACCACCCCCACTACAGGTGACAGAGAAGTCAGTGGATGAGCTGAAGACACAAACCTTCAGCGCCCTTGTTTGGATAGAATTGCCTTGCCTTCCTTTCAGCCATATACACAGAAAGGGCTAGGGCTGAAGGTAAAATGTTCCTGTTTTCTGTCATCTGACGTTTTTCCCCCTGCCCAGAGTCACCATTCACCAAGGATGCTGGCAACCCTCTAGAGAAGTGTGCTTGCTCACCTGTCTCTCTACATATATACAATTTTATACTCATACATACACACACATTTACATTACATGTACAGATATACATGTAACCTCAAAGTGCCAAAAGTCTGTAATTTCAATGATGCAGCTACTTCCCCTGCGAAAAAGACCACAAGGCTTTATGCCTTAGTCAACCATCTTTTGGGAGCTCCTTCAGCAAAAACAAAAACAAAGCACCGACCACTGGGAGGTCAAGCATCTGCTGATGAGGTTCTACAAACTTAGCCACATTGTTCCTCCAATGACAGACAAGGTCATTGATGGGCTGACACCCAAAACTTTTCCAGTTGGTAGAAACTTGAACCTCTCTCACAGTGAAGCCTTTTCCCCAAAGAAATTAATTTATTTTGTTGCTGTTCTTACTGGTATCCTTCCTTTTTAAAAACATCACAATCATACTCTAATATACTTATACCTTCCCCTACACTGAACACTTTTTTCTGTCAATAAAAAAAAAAGTTAAACAGAATTGAATGAAAAGGCTACCAAAGTCTGACTGTGTAATTTACATTCTGCCCCTACAATCTGTCCTCCTCACCTTCCCTCCTTCTTCCCCTACCCCACCACCCACCCACCTACACACACATACACACTCTCATTCTCTCTCTCTCTCTCTCTCTCTCTCTCTCTCTCTCTGCTCTCTATGCTAGCTAAATCCTTTTTTCTCTCAACGTGATTGTTCACAGCACTTAGCCTTATTGCAACTGCCCTTTTACTCATCTTTTTACTTACATTACTGTACCCATTAAACATATCTTTATCTTAGTTCTGATTTCTGCTCCAGTGTGTATATAGTTACATACACAGAGGTAAAGTTATTTCAAATGTCCTCTTAGTTATACTTTTTTGATAATCTGGTCCTTTAAAAAGCCAAACCTAGATGCTTATTTTAATGTATGCTTTATAATGCCTTCATTTAAGAGCAAAGAAAGAAAAAAGGAAAAAACAGAAGAAATTGCTCAATACCACACAAGGTCTGAAATACAGTCACAATCCGAACTCCAAGGTCAAGGAAGAGGGTCCACATGGGAAAGGTCGTTCTCCCATTAACTCCCTGGCACAATGGAGAGGCTTCCATGCCAGAAGTGGGAACGTGCCAAGATCACACGAGCAGCAAAACAGCCTGCAGGAGTTAGCATCATTTCACTCAATGTTAAAACAATGACCCAAACCCATAGAAGTCTTACCCAGTCTCAGCAATTATTTCTGGAGCCACATAAGTGGGTGTGCCACAGACAGTATATAAAGGTCCTTCAACCACAGTGGCCAGCCCAAAATCTCCCAGTTTCAAAGATTTGGTTCCATCCGGATATTCACACACCTACAGGTAAGAGAAGTCAATAATTAGGAGGAAAAGATGGTCTCTTCATAATTGTACAAGGGAAGAAGGGAGAGAGAAGTGGGAGGAGATACACGTATGTTTTTTCTTTATATAAACAAACCAGGAGAGAGAAACTTGCCTAAATTTCTTTTTCTTGTGGGACAAGTGCTATTTTCTTGTTCTTCAATTTTATCTTGAAAAGACTGAATGATTATAGTAGGATCACAGATTTAGAACTAAAAGCCCCCCCCATCTAGTCTAACTACAACCCCATTTTACTGATGAGGAAAATGAAGGCTTGAGAAGTAAACAGACAGTAAATGGAAAAGCTGGGCTTCAACCCAGGTTTTTTGATTCTAAACCTAGTGTTCTTTACTATAATGGCTTGGGATGGGAGTGGAGGGCAGGGGGAGCAGGGCAGGGAGTGGTCATCTCCCTAACACTATCCCCAAAACAAGCCCCAACAGTAGGCAGAGCTCTTGGCTACTATGCATCCATCACTTATTTTTACTTTGGGCAACTCATCCAACCGCTCTAGACTTCATTTTCCTCTCTGTGAAATAGGTACACTATTTACACTGCCTTCTAGTTGCAGTGAGGATCAAATGGGACAAAGTGCTTTGTAGATGTTAAATGATATATAGGTAAGCTATCAACATGTGCCTAAGGGGGTGCCATGAAACTATAAATTTCCCAGAAATTGCTCCCCCAATGACCTGTCGTGGTGCTGTCCTTCATATTTCCTGTCTTGAATTTTTCATCAAGTTCTCACCTTTGGGTTATAAAACAATGGTCTGGGGGTGGGAAAGAAGGAGGTAGAAAGCTGGGCCAATTAGTCCTCCTCAAAATGTTTTCCCTTCCCTTGGCCAAAAAAAAAAAAGTAGTTTATCCGATGAGATGACTAGCCCCTAGGGAAGCACAGAAAGTCTGACCCTCAGAAGATGAGGGAAAGGATATGTCAATTTCAAGGAGGCTCAGGGTAAGAACATGGCAGCCATGAGACAACGTGACCAGGTAGGGCAGGCCAGGTCTCTGCTCGGGACCCTCAGGGTAATGACAGCAGCAGATGTCCCGATGCTGTGGGAGGAGGGGTGAGGGGATCGGCAACAAATTCTACCTACCTAATGTTATCAAAAGTTAACCCTCAATACAGGTTCCAGGCTGAGATGGGGCAGGAAGGGAGTGGAGGAGAAGGGAGCTGGTCTTATTTCTGTATTTGCAAGTATTGGTCAACTTTTTTGGACTAGGTCATACGATATTTGTATCTTCAATGCATATCCCCCTAGTTAAGACATATACATTCCCACCACTTATTTGTCAAATGTGTACCACACACTTAGCATTAGGAAGCTCCTTCCAGACACTGTGAGGTATATGGAGATGAGTAAGACATGCCATATTCTCTCCAATTAGACTGGGCAGCAGTATGGCAGCACAACAGAAAAGGGGCTGGAGGTAGCTACATGGCGCAGGGGATAGAGCACTGACCCTGAAGTCAGGAGGACCTGAGTTCATATCCGACCTCAGACCAAACACTTGATACTTACTGTGTGGCCTTGGGCAAGTCACTTAACACTAATTGTCTAAAAATTTAAAAAAAAAATAGAAAAGGGGCTGGCACTAGGGGCCTCAGTCTTCCTGGCTCTGCTACTTAAGATGATGTGTGTGTGACCTTGGGCACATTGCTTCTGTTCCCTGAGCCCCATTTTCTCACCTATAAAATGGGAGGTTAGATTAGATAATCTTCCAAAAGCTCAATGTCCCATCTGAGCCCTTTGAGGGCAGGGACTGTCACCTTTGTATACACAGTTCCTGGGAACTTTGTTGTTGTTTGTCCTTCCTTTCAAAGGGGACCAATGACCTCCCAGGCAATGTCTTGACTTGCTTGTGGATTGGATTTAAGTGAGGCAGCACTGTGCAAAGTCATCAGCCTCACTCTCTCCTCCAGAGTCACCAAAGTCCATTGGCACGACCAAAGTCAAGATGACTGGAGATGGCCTGGGATACAGTGGATGACCTCGATAACTTCAACGTCTAACCAAGCTCTAAGCGCTCCACAGCACCTGCTTCAGCCACCTGCACGGCCATGGGAACAAATGGTTTTCATCCACCCATTCCACCAGGGAAAGTCTACACATGCTTGCCACACACTCCCCTAGCTCACCACTGGGTTTGAGACCTCCCCATTACCCTCAATTGGACTTAGCCTGTCTGCCAAGACAGTTTAGCTGGGTGTGGCCACTACGCATGTGGCAATTTCTTGGAGCACAGGTGAGAGTTGGATGAATCAGATAGTAGCCCTTAAAAGGGCTCAAGCAAGCCTTCACACAACAGGAGCTTAATTAGCATTTGTTTACTTGAATAGAATACCCGATTTCTAACCTCAAGCAACTTACAATCTAATGGGGATGGGAGAGGTGGAACATGCACAACAACATTTAAAGAAGAGGATCTATGACAGCAATCCTTAAATCTAGGTACAGTTTTCAGGGAGATCACATACTTGGATAGCGGGGAAAAAAATCACATCTTTATTTTTGAACTTCTCATGCAAACTAGAGTACCAGGGCCTGGAGTCAAGAAGATCCAAGATGAAACCCAGCCGGAGACATTTACTAGCTATGTGACCTTGGGCAAGTCACTTAACCCAACTGCCACCAAAAAATAATAATAAAAAAATAAAATAAAGGGAGTTCTCCTAGTGAATTTAAAGCTGTTCCACATTCAAGGAAGAGACAGCATCAAAGCACCATAGACTGAAAGCTAGGACAGACCAAGGCTACTTAGTCCAGCCACTTCACTTTATTTGTTTATTTTAGGAGGCTAGAGGTAGAGCAGCCACTTGGCCCAAGCCCATGGCTGATCAGCACAGAAGCTTTGATCTACTTGTTTCCAGCCTGGGCCAGCTAACCCTTGGCAGACGCCCTGGTGGCCCCTGCTACTTACCAGCTATGTGACCTTGAACAAAGCACTTAACCTAAGTATTTATTTCCGAAGCTATATAATGGAGCTAGAGAAGCGGGCCTGGAGTTAGAAAGCTGTTGTTGTTGCGGGACCATGGGCCAATCAATTAACCTCTTTTTTTTGCCTCAGTTTCCTCAACTGTAAAATTGGAATAATAACCTCTCCCTTGGCAGGGTTGTTGCGGGATCAAACGAGATAATGTAGTCAAAGTACAATGGGTCATCATCGGGACCATCATCATTACCATGAGAAATCACATCATTCACGTGGAAAAAAAGGAGTATTCTCAAGAAGAAGGAAAGGTGGGAAAGGTAGCGGCTAGTCCCTAGCTAGAATGGTCACAAACTCCAGCTGGTTACTTGTACTTACAAACCTGCCCTGAGCAATGGAATGAGCTCACAGAATCAACTGTATCTTCAATGATTAATTAGTACAAGAAACAAGTAAACTTGAATTTTTGTGGCTAATAAAAGGAATATATACATTATTCCTTTTTTTTTTAAGGACTCATAAAAAAAAACCACCACCTTTGGTGAGGCAGTGGTTGTTTGGGGGGAAGGGTAGTGTCTTGGGGAAGGACTCAGCTTCCCCTATGACACTCTTTGATCCAACCAGTTTGGTTTCCCTCTGTTCCACATTCACAACAGACCACCTGCCATCTTTGTGCCTTTACACTGACCTAAAGTATACTCTCTCCATCGTTCATCTGACTCTTCTTGAGCCCATTTGGAGTTTTCTTGACAAAGATACTGGAGTGCATTGCCATTTCCTTCTCCAGCTCATCTGACAGAAGAGGAAACTGAGGCAAACAGGGTGAAATGACTTGCCCAGGGTCACACAACTAGTAAGTGTCTGAAGCTGGATTTGAACTCCAGAAGATGAGCCTTCCTGGCTCCAGGCCCTGCATTTCATCCACATCAATACCAAGCTGCCATTTTCTTCCTTTAAGGCACAGCTTGGGCTCCACCTTCTACCTGAAGTCTTTCTTGGTTCACCCAACAGTTAGTGCCTGCTGTCCAAACTACCTTGTATTCAGCTATGGTGGGTATATACATACCCAGGTACTCATGGACACATGGGAAAAGCAAGGCAAATTACGTGAACTGCCTAGAACTACAAAGCCAGCGAGTGTCTGAGGCGAGATGTGAACTCAAATCTTCCTGACTCCAGGTCTAGGATCAGAGCATCACCTGACTGCTAACATAATGGGAACTGATATCTCCCGGGATCACTGCCATCAAGGAATTTGATTTTTCTCTTCCATAATCTCCATTATTTCTTAAAACTTTGAAATTATAATTGCTTTGCCCATCATGTCCTCTTTTAATAATCACAAGACTTTTCTGGGTTATTAATTTAATAATCATAAATTAAGTTACAATGATGCTTTTGTCCTGTTTCTCCTTCTGGGTTATACGTGTACTTATCTACACCCATAAAGAACCACATTTTTGTGCCTTAAGATGACCAAAGAATACTGATGGGTATTTTTTCTCCTCAGTAGTGCTCAATATCCTGAATCTGCCCAGGACTCAACAGGATCACAGTTAAAGGCAATCAATATTTTACATAAAGTAATAGGAACCAGATTTGCATTCATCCTAGAGACTTCTAAAGGATGGGTTTTCATTCATAATGTTTAATGTAAATATTAAAGAGAAAACATTACATGTAGAATTACAACTGTAATTTATAGTGTATTTATCATAACCCACAGTTTAGGAACAAATTTCCCCTGAGTAATTTGCATCAGTGAGTACATTATTAGTATCATTTTCCAACTGACTGAATCATGAGGCTAAAACAAATACTTATTACACACATTTTTCAGAAAAGCAATGTTTGCTTAAGAAATTTCAACTTAGACATGCCTGGGGCCAGCTTCAGGGCCTCGCTTGGAGAATGAGCAGCCCAAAGGTCCAACATTTTCCCTCCACAGAATTCAGAGTCAGATCTACGAGCCGTGCAGTGAGGCAAGCGGCATTACTCCACTAAGCACTGAATGGACAATGTCCTAGGAGGCAGATGTGTAAAAAACATACTCCCCTTTATCTATCGCCCCTAATATACAGTGAACACATACAGAGAATATTAAATCTTAGCCAGAAATAAAAATATTTTTGAGACATTCTTTAGGTGGCAAAAGAGTCAGAAGTGGAGGTTCAAATAGAAATACCAACTCTGTTCTTTATTACTTCAATAAATTTAGGAAAGTCACTTAACTTTTCTGAGCCTCAGTTTCCTCATTTGGAATATGAAGGGGTTGGATGAAGTCTAAAAATAACAGTTCCTCAACTGGGTAAAAAGTATGATGACTCCTCCAACAACAACAACAAAAAAGCAAACCTCACAAATTACTATTTACCATTGGTTGCTTAAGTCATTGTAATTATCTCAGCTTGCTACTGAAGAAAAGCAGACAAATTTCTCAATCTCGCCCCTGCTACCCTGTGGAATATCGACTTTGCACATATAAGAAAACCTAGGAAGAGCTAACCATAAGTAGGATGAGTGGCAGGGTCTTTATCCCAGAGCATCAAGGTTTGACAGGCACTAACAACATTTTAATTTCTTATACCCTAGCACTTAGTTAGCAATTAAATAAGAGGCTACCAGATTCCAGGCTTCCTACTCCATAGTGGTCACACTCCAGGTAAGCAATAGTGGCCTCCCAATCCCTACCCAAACTGAATTGCCCCTAGTGCCCAAATTGCTGGTTACAGCTCTGAGCCTCCGAGTTAAAAGCCTGCTCCTCCCCTGCTATGTTATGAACTGCAGATATTGGATAGCTCTTTCTGCTCAATGTGTCAATGTGATTCAAAAAAGGACATTTAACTATCAGCTTCCACATGCAAAAGAAGCACTGCTTTGTTCTCCTAGTAAAGTGCTGCAGCATGATTTAGATGGCCCTGTGAATGTGTGGAGCCCTCTTCCCTCCTCAATCCCAGGATCTCTCAGAAAAGCTGAATTTATCACTGGTCTGCCCCAGTAAACTCCAACAGGGCACTGCTGTACTGTAACTCACAGCATTAATGGCAAGCCCCATGCTCCTTGGCATGACTGCCCATCTATCTTTCCAGGCAGAGTGGATAAATTACAGCCAGGCTACTGGGGGAAAGGATGCAAATCAGATGGCTGAATGATCTGATAGCAAAGAAAGGAATTACTTTTTAGAAACAGGAAGAAACTTACAGTCACTATTTGCATTTATTCTCAATATTGCAAGACACTTTCCCACCTGAGTCTGGTGCCAATGACAGTGAGTAATCTTGCGTCTGCAGAATGATCTATTTAAGCTTTCTTTGCTAAGAGGACATTTTTGACACCTAAGTCTCTTTTGGAAATCCTCAATTGTCATATCAACCTAATGCTAGGGCATCTTGACACCAGTGATTATTGCATGAGATAATGTATGTAAAACACTCTGTAAACCTCTGTGCGCCATATAAATACCAAGTTACTATTATTAGCCCATCACAGATGATACCTTTCATTACATGTTCATTCCTACATCCTTTCAGGTAGCATTAATTTGCTGGCATGTATCTCACACCAAAGGTAAACACATGGAGCTGTTTAAGCAAATAATACTTCATGTGCAAAAATTTCAACCCTGTGATTTTAATGCTTTTTATGCAGTTAAAAATCCATACCTGTCTATGAGAAAGAAAGTGCTAGAGGGACAAGACAGAGACACTGTCATGATAAGGAACTATGAGAGAGAAACTGACATGCATGCATCAGAGCACAAGGACAAAGGAATTTACTGGTAAATGGGAAATTCCCCATTTCCTCATTGCCACAATCCAACCATGCCTGAATCAATGCTACAATTAAACCACATCAATGTTAGATCAATTACTCCCTTTCGGAGCCCTGAAAACATCTCTCTTGTTTTTCAATCTGTAGTATTTGTGAAATAACTGATGCCCCCTTCTAAAAATCATTTTGCATATAATTGAAAGCTTTTTGCTTTACTTTATATATATTCACATTTACTTCTCTGTGTATGCATTGTATCCCCCAGTAAAATATTAGTTCCTTGAGAACATGAATGATATCATTTTTATCTTTGTGTTCTTAATGCTTAGCATAATGCCTTCCTTGCATATAGTAGCTGCTCATTAAATGTTTTCTTGAATTGAATTCAACTGGACACAGGCTGAAGAAGTGAAGGAGTGTTTGGTTTTTGTTTTTTGGATTAATCTTATGATTTCATGTAAGGAGAGTCGGTTAATTAAAATACACATAATCATTTTTGTATAATTTCTCTGTTTCCCTTGCAAGATAACTAGCTTATGGCAACCAAAACAGAAATCTGCACCAGAAACAGCAGGTCCTGATAAATGCTACAAGGACACCTGTTTTGAATTGTGAAGACAGTATTCCCACCTCTGCCTAGGAGATAGGGATTGCAATTCTGTCTTCAGTTCCATCTTAGAGTTCATAAAACAGAGTCTATGATACATATCACATTACAGGGCAGGAGATATTTATTTCCCTAATGGGAAGACATAGTAATGAAATATAATTCCTTCAGGGGAAAGGACAGGAAGGAAAGAAAAACTCACATCATTTAAAATGAAGACAATAAGAAGCCATCAAACTATACTGCTGGAGTAGAGGAGGTAAAAAAATGAGACTTTAATCTACCAAAAGGCCACTGAGAATTGTTGTCTTTAAATTCCTTCATACTCATTTTCATAAAAAGTTGTGCCATAGAACATTGAGCTAGTATTCAGACCTAGGTTTTATTTCTAGCTCTACTGTTAATTAGTTGTATGACCTTGAATAAATCACTCTACTTTTCAAGACTTCAGTTTCCTCATCAGTAAAATGAGGTGGTTGGAACAGATGATCAAACCCACAATACCATGCTGGGAAGAGCTTGGTCAGGCATCGAAGATGCCAAGGCTATCCGCTGCATCCTGGGTCATCAGCAGTCATCCTGAGTGAAGCTGACAACTTTGTGCAACTCTGTCTCACTTCAATCCAATTCATATGCAAGCCAAGATATCACCCCCATGGTGTCATTGGTCCTCTTTGAAAAGGAAGGACAAACAACCGTGCTGGGATTAGCACAGTGTAGATTCTCAGTTTAAATTCCAGCCCTGACACTCTTACCTACGAGACTGTGAGCAAATCAATCAACTTCTCTCATCCTTAGTGCCCTCTGGTATAAAATAAGAGGTTGGATTAGATGAGTTGGAAGATCTTCCAGCTTTAATCTAGCTCTACATCTTTGATCCTACGATCAAAATGTAAATGAGCAAGGGTTCCAGTTCCTGGCAAATGCTAAACAATATCAATTCAGCTGCCTATCAATATTTTAGGGAAATTGATTTATTTCAAGGCTGCTGATACTCAAAATGTATGCTCTCCCAGCACTCTATTCCATGACTAGCAGAGACAAGCAGTTTTCTCCTTTAACATATGATTTTAATCATTTCAGAGGAAAAAACGTAAGCTCAAGGGGTTGTAGGATGACTCCCACCGTCCTCCTGACTTACCAAAAGGTTCTCGGGCTTGATGTCTCTATGCACTATGTTGAGACCATGAAGATACTTCAGGGCACTCGCTAGGTTGTACACCATTGCACTCCCATCTCGCTCTGTGTACTTAGTTGAGGAAGTAATCGCATCAAAGAGATCGCCACCCTAAGGCAGATACCACCAAACGTCAACAAGCAATTACTTCTATGTATAATGCACAGCTATCAGGCTTTTATATCAGAGCACAACTATTCCATTAAAACTTATGTCAAAAATTAGAATTAATGTGGGCAGTTCAATTCAACAAATATTTATTAGGTTAACTGCCATGTAACTCTGAGCTAGGTATTGGGGGTATAAACTTTAAAAAGGTATATAGAATGTAAGCTCCTTGAGGACAGGAACTAAGATAAGTGTAACACAAGGAAGAATGTGATGGCTTTAGAGACCCAAAATATTTGAGGAAATTTTGGAGAGAGAGAGAAAACACTCTTCCAAGATGGCAGGGTCAGAGAAGGTTTTACAAAAGAGGGACTACCGAAGTGGAGTCTTAAGGATGACATGAATGCTTTCTAGGCTTTGGGGGGGGGGGCGGGGAGGGGAGGGAGGAGTAGTCTCAGCAAATGCCCGGGGATAAAAGAAGAGGTGAAAGATAGATTCAAGTTGGGAAAGTATCTAATGGTCAGGTTTAAACATAAGAATAAAGTGAAGTAAGTATAGGTAGGTCAGAAGGCTTCAGCTTGTCAAAGTCTGTCTTTTTTTTTTTAAACTCCTATAGGAAATAGGGAACCATAGATGATTTTTGAGCTGGTGAATGAAACGGTTAAACCTATAACTGAAGAAAACATAGTTACATGGTAGTGGAGTACTTTTCTGACTGGGCTTAAAAAAAACAACTTTATTTAACACTGAAATCAGCCCTGAAAATGATCAAAGAAAATCCCCGAGGCTTCTTACCTTGACTAATTCCATCACCAGAAAAAGCTCAGTAGCGGTATCCATTTCCTCAATCAGCATGATTATATTTGGATGTTTAACTCTGCGCAGTATTGACACTTCATTCTCAATCAGGTGTTCCTAAGAAATGGCAGAGAAACTGATTTAGAAAGTAGCAGTCTCTCCTCTATTTAGTAATAGCTAGTACTTATATAATGCTTTAGAGTTTGCAAAGTGCTTTATAAATGGTATCTAATTTTGTCCTTTGTGAATCCAAACTCCAACGAACAGCCATTATAGACAACCTTCTTTTGTGGACATTGCCCTTTAGCTTAGCTGGTTGAAGAACAATGCTAAGGACTTCAAGTTTGTGGTTTGTTACCAAATGGACCATTTATCTTAAAAGGGAATGACTCCTTTGGTGTGTCCCTCCATTTAAACCAATCCATTCCAAAAGGAATTTTTTAACATCATACATGTTTATGTCTGCAAAGCACAGTTATGAGAAAGGGGTGAGCTGGAGATACAATGACAGAAAATAGTGCCTGTCCTCAAAGAGTTTATAATCTGCTGGGGGGAGGATACAGTCCACCCATAGGGAAGAATATGCATTTTAATTTGAAAGAAGAATTAAAGGAATGATTGAAGGAAGCTAAGGATTATAAGAAATGGCAGCAAAGAAGGAATGTATTCCATGCACAGGGGACAGCTTACTCAAAGGCATGAGAGTGGAAGATGAAGTGCTAAGTTTGGGAAACTGCAAGCAGGCTGTTTGACTACAGTTTAGAGGAAGTGCTCTCGATGATAACCTGAGGCCTTGACATTTTGTTTCAGAGGAAATGTGAAGTTAATGAAGGTTCTAGAGAAAGGGAGTGGCATGATCCAAACTGCGGGAAGTTATCAGCTGTCTCAAAAAAATGTATGTGGGTTAGCAGAGGGAGAGGCCAAGAAAATAGGGATGAAACAACTTGCCTCATCCACTGATGAATCAGTATGGATATCTTGGTATATAAAGGACAGAATTCTTATTGTCTTGTATTCAGGGGTTAGATTTTAAAGACAAATATTTATTAGATGCTAGCTCAAAGCCCCATACCATAAATTACTAGCCTAGATTCTGCCAGATAAGCTAACTTTCTTTAGCTGCTGTTACAGCTGCAATTAACACCACTTTAGTCATCTAAAGGAATTATCATTCATATAGTTGTCCACTTGGGGAGAAAATGATATAATAACATGATGCTTTCATAGAGGTGATTTTATCATACGTAGTCCTGACAAGTCTTACTACATTTTAACCTTTGTTCTTCCAGAACTGTTAATAACAAGATAATTTTATTAAGCCACAAAGAGGAAAAAAAGACTAGGCACATCAGAATGTAGAATACTTTAATTTTAATCCATTTGGCATTTCAAATGCACTTAATGGCCTTGAGGATGTCACTAGATTTTAAGCTGTCACTAATCACAGTTTGAATTTCATGCTATAATTGAAGAAAAAGATACATTCTTTAACTATTACTCATGAATTCATTCCCCAGATAGATGTTCTTTATTATCTTGGAGCATAGAAATCTGGAAACATATAGTACCATAAAGACTATTATCTTAATTTTAACTCTATTTTGACTCAAAAACAAACAAACAAAACCAAAGAACCAGTGGATTATCTATGAGGATTGATATGACTCACATGAGATCGCATTATAGAAAAACAATATTATAATAGAAAGATAATTTCTTTACACAAATACATATATACATTTATATATCTGTGTATATATAAATATATACATAATGTATTTATGTACATAAGTATACACATGCATATATAAAAAATATATATGTATATATGCACATATGCACACATATATACTATGACACTCTGTATTCATACTGTATTCTATGTAGTATTGCGTACACCCACACATGTTTGTGTTCTGTTAATCATATTAATTGTTCCGGACTACTGATCCAATAAATAAATAAATAAAGGCTCTAAAATGGAATACAGTATAGTAGCTAGAACTGAGGATTTGTGGAGCAACTAAGTTAAATTTCTTCTTCTGTCACTTAATAGCTGCATAAACTTTGTTAAGTCTCTCATCTACATGGGCATTGTTGAGATCTGCATTGTTGCAGAGTTTCTATACTGGGAGATTCCCCATAGCAATGAAATCACAAGTCCAGACCCCCAAACAGTATTGGCTACCACTAAGAGAAATTGTCTTGCTTTGTTTTATTTTGTTCTGTTTTGAGAAAAAAAAAGTCCTAATAGAAAATGGGCACCCAACTAAATGTTGCTATTGATATGACGAAAACACACAGGGATGTGCTAGAATCAGTGAAAGAGGGCTGATTGTTAAATTTCCAATGTGAATGTTCACACCTTTGAAATCCCAAAATGCTGCAAAATCGTGGCTTGATTTGTTTTCTTGATTGTCGAGACTTAAATGATGAAGAAAATGCTAATAATGCAGATTAAACTGAAAAGTGTGTCTTGTGTACATTATTTTTCCAAGAAGGCTGGTTGTTAAACATTTATCAGCACATCTTTGAGAACAAGGTTTGTGATGAATTATATGGATGAAATTCCATTCAATTTCTCAAAAAAAAATGACATATTTGACTACTTGAAAAAATTTTAAGTAAAAATTATGTCATTGTCGGGTTGGGGAAGCCATCTTACCCACTAGCCTTCAGGTAAAACCATGCCAATCTCTCCAAGTCAGAAGACAGTCTTTTATGTTTTCAATATTGTCATGGGAGATTCCTTAGTCTTCCCCTCCAACTTTCAATAATCTCAGCCAATTGTCACATAGTTGAAGTGTTAGTGACTCCTGTAGCCCTAAAAAGGCTTAGAGGGCTTCTGGAAGGAAGGATTTTGACTTTCTAAATCAAACAGATCTAGCAATTCTAGGTAATACAACACTTAGAAGCAGCTGCAGAATCTCTTGCACATTCCCATAACGAAGCAGTTGTGCAGCCAGCTTCTCTTTTTCACGAGAGATGAAGGGAAGAAAGGCTTGGCACAAGCTGCCATTTCTACATATTGAAGCACCTAGCTTGAGAATACGCATTCTCTTTAGCTCACTTCTTTTGAAATGCTTGTTTCCTAACTTGAGAAGAAAAGCTGGATGCAATTTTGATAGTACGATAGGATTAAGATAAATACATTCATCTTGATCCTTATGAAACAAATAACTAAGATGATGATGGTATTTATTGCCAGTCCAAACCATGAAAACCAGTTATGGAGCACTGTCATTTAAAGTTAAACCAGCCCTGCAGCACTTCCAAGTTTCCTCCAAAATTATAATGACCTACAGACAAATTTCTACACTGTTCAAATTCAGGATGTAAATCTCCATTTAGAGTGACATAGATGAGGCAAATGGAAGACACTCTAACGAAAATGAGGATAAGCTATCCAGAAGTGGAATAGATGGCCTCAGGAGAGAGTTTTCTCCCTCACTGGAGATCATTAGGCAAAGACTGGATGACTAACTTCTTGGGAAAGTTGTAGAGGGAGGTTCTTATGTACAGGTTGGACTCTATGACCCATGAGATCTTCTCCCGACTCTGATGTTCAATGACACAACACAGTAGGGGGACTGCTTCTCCCTGAAGGTATTACTTCCCCCCTCCCCCAAATAAAGGTACAATGGAAAATGCTCTGAAATATATGGTAGGGCTTCTCCTAGGGTCACCAGAAATGTAACGTTTCAAAGATGAGGTGCTATTCCAGAAACACTGCATCTACACTCATGCAACTTACCACATACTGCTTTTTCAATGACTTAGAACTTCTGCATGGTCAACATTCTGGGGAATATGAGAGCTATTTTTACCTCTCATTGTCCAATATTCTCCCTAAGAGTGCTTCTAAAGAGTCAGTCTGTTACAACTGATGGGTATTTCAATTTTTAAAAAGCAAAATCATCAGAAAACAGAACTCTGAAATCAACAATATCCAAATACCCTTATCAATGTTATCTTCCAACCTCACATACAGCAGTGTATAAGCTATGTTTCTAACATATGATATCCTCTCTAAATCAAATTTTTCACAAAGGAAACTAGTGTTTGGTAAAAGTGCATAATCATTTGCAAATTTCTAAATGCCATTTAGATATCATTTTTGTCTTCTGCCATTCTAAGTTTACATTACTCAGACATCCATCAATATGCACACTGAATGGTTGATGCATACTAATGTATCCAAACAACTGACATGTGAACCCATTCCAAAGCTTTATTTTATCACATGAAAGCAGAGGGGGATGACAATGAAAACTGATGTGCATGAAGAGAACACAGGATCATCTTTGACAATGAAGTGTGTGTGTGTGTGTGTGTGTGTGTGTGTGTGTGTGTGTGTGTGTGTAAAACCTGAGTGACAGGGGAGTGGTCACTGCCTTAGGATAATGTACTGCTTCATGCTGCCAAGGAACAATGAATCTATTCTTGCTCTGAATCGCTGACTGGTTAACCCTTGCTGTTTACTGAATCTGGGCTGCCTCTTTGGAGTATATTAAAAAGAAATGACACAAAGAATGCTTGCTAGCAAGGTTCCTAATGTAAGAATCCTAAACACAATGAAAAGAGGCCATTGTCACTTCCACCACCTCAGTTCACAGGGGAGCAACACGACAAATAAAAGTCATACCACACATCTACAATTCCCACAACTTTGGAAAGCCAAGCAAATTAAGTCTTTGGGTTTTATGAAGCAAAAGGGAGAGAAATCAGAGGAAACAATTTAAGATCATGTTGTTGGGTTTTTTTAAATAGTTGAGGCATCAAAGAAAATGAGCCAAGTTTTCAAAGTGACCTCTACATTTTAATCACCTATTTAAGGGCACTGATCTCAAGGTCTACAAGTAAAAGCCTTACAGCTGCAAAAACATGCCTATGGTTGCTGAAATTTGACTCAGTTATACATTTAATGACCTTTACTCAGCAAATGCTTTACTTTTTTAAAAATGAAAGGAAAAATTTTAATTCAACTTTGCAAAACTGATTTTCCATAAAGATAAATGGATTCTCCTTATTTGCCCTTCTCCTCTTTTGCCTTCACGTTCTTCTCTTCACAGTGTTGACACCAAATAACTATACACGAACCACTACCCGTGACTTCTTGTCCCTTTCCTTTCCCAATTCACCACTTGGGACCATGTGCAACCCCAACAGATGCCTTTTCAGTCATACTCTGGAGCGACTGGAAGAAGTCGCACCACTGTGCTGACTGGATCCACCACAGTCATGTCACCTAATACCATCATGGCCCTCATTCCTGCATGGAAAAATTGTCATAACTCCCTCACTCACTCTATCCCTCTTTCCCTGTCAAACAAAACTGGGGCAACAAAACTGTTTGCAATGCTTTCCTGCCTTGTCTTTCCTATCAAGTTCAAAACTCACCCTTATTATATGTATATGTATGTGCTATTGATCCTTAGAACTTTGTAACTACAAGTGCTACCCTTCCTCAATCTGGGAATGTAAGCAGACTGATACCACATGGTACAGAACATATACAAATATACACAGGTTTGGACAAAACTATATTATTAAATAAGGCTTTATTAAGAGTTTGGGCTAGAACACTGTACACAGCAACAGCCACAATGTACAATGACTAACTTTGATAGACTCATCTCTTCTTAGCAATTGCGAGGATCCAAGACAACTCCAAAAAACTCATGATGGAAAATGCTGTCCATGTCCACAAAAAGAACCATGGAGTCTGAATGCAGATCAAAGCATGTTATTTGCTCTTTTTTTTCTTTCCTTTTTTTTTTGCTTATTTCCTCTTTCTCGTGGTTTCTCCCATTGGTTCTAATTCTTCTTTACAACATGACTAATGTGAAAATATGTTCAACATGTATGTATATGTAGAGCCTATATCAAATTGCATGCTGTCTTGGGGTGGGGGGAGGGGGGAGAGAAAATTTGGAACTCAAAATCTTATGGAAGTGAATGTTGAAAACTAAAAACAAATAATTTTTTTTTAAAAGTATAAATAAAGCAAAACAAAATAAATAAATTTTAAAAAGGTTTGGGTAGCTAGGTGGCACAATAGATAGAGTGCCGAGATTGAAGTCAGCAAGACGCATCTCCCTGAGTTCAAATCCAGCCTCAGACACTTACTAGATGTGTGATTCTGGGCAAGTCACATCACCCTGTTTGCCTCAGTTTCCTCAACTGAAAATGAGCTGGAGAAGGAAATGGCAAACCACTCCAGCATCTTTGCCAAGAATATTTCAAATGAGGTCACAAAGAGTTGGATGCAACTGAAACAACCTAACAAATATTAAGAGCTTTAGAAAATTATTCTGCCTTTCCCAAGGAATTTCAGTATTTTACATGTAGAAACTCAAGGGGATGTGGAGGGGAGGCATGGAAAGGGAATAACAACATAAGCACTACTCTTTGATTCTTCACTTGAGAGAACCCAAGGCCAACCTCCCAGCATCTATCATATCAGTTGGCATATATCCCCTAAGTATTAAATGTCCCTTGCTTTTTGCTTCTATCCCCTCTCCCCCATTATTGTCAAATCACACAATCATCCTCCTGGTCACTCAGGTTTTTCATCTTGGTGTCTTCCTCCACTCCTCACTCTCACTCCCACAAGGTATCCAATCCATTGCCATATCTTATTCTTTCTGCCTCCATAGTACAACATCTATACATTCACTTCTTTCCATCCGCCCTAGTTGAGGCCCTCACGGCCTCTCACCCTATTTACTGCAAGAGCCTTCTGACTGATCTCCCTGCCCTACATCTCTCCCTCCCTCCAATCCGCTTTCCCTCCCCCCAACACACTCAGTAACTTCCAGTGGCTTCCAATGACAACTAGTAAAAAAATAAAAACAATAAACAAAAAAATTATCTCCTGTTTGGCATTTATAGTTCCTCAAAACCTAGTCTATTCCTATTATATTCCTATATATAAGTTTTCATTTCTCCCTTGCTTTTTTTGTTTATTTCTTTGGTTTTTGGTCCAGCCACACCTTTCTGCTTAGCATTCCTCATACGCAATTCTCCATCTCTTACCTCCATATGTTTACACTGACTATGGTGCAGTAGATAGAGCTTTGGACCTTGAGTCAGGAAGATCTGAGTTCAAAACCAGACTAAAGTACACACTAGTTTTGTGATCTTGAGCAAGTCACTCTGTTGGCCTCAGCCTCCTCATTGCCGTGAGACAAATGAGATCTTTGTAAAGTGCTGAGCACAGTGTCTGACACAAGGTAATACTATATGCAGGCTTATTTCCTTTCCCCCCTTGTCTTCTTCCTCATCTTCGGTTCTTAGAAGTCTGAAGTCTTCAGAATTCAGCTTGAATGCCACCTCAGCGAGAAGCTTTTACTCCCTCTCCCCCATCCCCAGTGCTAGTGGCTCCCCAACTCTAAGGTTACATAGTTCCATCTACTCTATATGTATCTTGTATGCACCTACATACAAGTTGTACATACAAGTTATCTTTTTTTCCAGGAATACTTAAAATTTATTATCTTAAAACTTGGCTAAGATCAAACTCTACCCCCACCTCTCCCCCATCACACATCCTGAACCAGACGCAAACTCTATGTGCAATTACATGGTAAACTAAAATGCCATGAACCAGAATCAAAAAGTACTGCCTTGCTCCTTTGGTCTTCCCAGTATAACTTTAATGGCTTTAAAACTAAATGTAGGTGAGCTGAATAAGGGAAGAATGCTATGTTACCTGAGACAGATGGGAGAACAGTCCTACATTCAACTCTCATATACCCAAATAGTATACAATGGGCAGGTTAAAATAACACATAAGATTGAGGGCCTTCTTTCCATGCCTCAGTGGAGAGGTCTGTTGGATCAAGTAGACTTTTATTCATTTCAGGTTGACACTGGTTGGACCAATGCTCAATCTTATAATCCAACAGTGAGGCAAGACTTTACCAAATCCATTCTGATCTTCTGAGTGAACAATAAACATTCAGCACTTAGTACCATATACCTATGAGAACCAAAAATATGAGCATCTGTATGATGCTATTAAAACTTTTTTCAAGGTTTAAAACCACTGCCTGGAAGCACCATAGTCCACTGGAGCCTTTTTATTTGTATGCATATTTTACACCCTTAGAAAAAGAATCCCAGGATTTTCCCTCCTGTGTGTTTTCGTCTTGCTTCCTCACGGTCCATGATGCCAGCTGACGCTGTAAGCACAATGAACCCAAACTGACAGGATGGTAGCAGATTATTCTGCCACTTTTCCAGATCTTTCAATTGAACATCAAATCTGGTGCTGATTACACCACACTTGTTTAATCTGCCCGTGAGGTTTTCCTGCTCTGTGATCATCAATGATCTCAAATTCGCCAATGTAACCATGCTTCATCATCACAGTTAAGAACCGGACAATTACTTTAGACCATGGCCTAATGAGAACCTGGTGTTTTCCTCACTTTTCTGCATTGTTGATGCTTTTGAGAGGGTCTGCCAGGATGTTCATGCGCACAATGGTGGCAGTGCTGCAAGATGGAGGAAAGAGCCATACAACTTATTTTTCTATTAAAATGTAAGCTCACTGAAGTTAGGACCTGCCTTTGTTTTTTCTTTTTCTCTACAATCAGCACTTTTAATGAATGTTTATTGACTGAATGAAACAACAACGACATGATAGCAGTAGAAATCACTCTACTAGGTGTTTTTGCTAAACTGGTTTCAGGGAATCTGCTTTAGGTAGTAGTTTGGGTGTCTTCTAGAAAGTATGTATTGTGACAAAGCAAAATACACTAATTTTTGAATAAAAAATAATAGTGCTTTATTTCTTCTCATCCCTAGAACAAGAATAGAGTTGAAAAAGATCTTCTATCTTTTGAAAACTGCTTATTTTTTTTAAAGGCAATTGGGGTTAAGTGACTCACCCAGGGTCACACAGCTAGTAAGTGTCAAGTGTTTGGTCTGAGACCGGATTTGAACTCAGGTCCTCCTGACTTCAGGGCTGGTGCTCTATCCATTGCACTACCTAGCTGACATGACAAGTACTTCTGAATTTTTTTTTTAAACTTTGAAACACAGGAAGCACAAACCTGAAAGATTCATGGCCTTGAGCTGCTCAGATTTTCAACATTCTACCAATACTATGGTTCTAAATTTTTTTAAACATCATACCCAGTTCCCAAAATATTTGTCCATTTAATGGAAAACTATAACTCATTAACACACACACACACACACACACACACACACACACATATACGAAGATAGCACACTTAAAAAATCTCATAGTCTCATAAGGTTACTTTAGTTACTTTCGTAGGCAATTATGTATACACTACCTTTCCACAGCACTTGGTTTTATCTATTATTTTTAGGGCAAACTCCTTTCCAGTAGACCTACAGGAAGATGAGAAGACAACTATTATTTAACAGACAAACCATAAAACCTCACACCTCAGTATTTACTTAATCACATTATACAGAGAAAGGATTTGGCAACCTCTCTACGTAGTAGATACTCTTGTGAGAAGCAGCATATAAGTTTTTAAAATGTGTTCCTCTTGGAAAATGACATAGAATGAGAATGGGTGTAATAGACAAGCCCAGGTACTACACTTCTTCAAAATTTAAATTTTTTGCTACATTTTAGGTTCAGAATTGCCTCCCTGTCTCCCCACCCTCCACTAGAGAAGGCTACCATTTAACGTGTGTGTGTGTGTGTGTGTATGTGTATATATATATTAGGTACACACACAAACATATATACACACAGAGATATGTGTGTATATATATATATATATGTGTGTGTGTGTGTGTATGTGTATATATATATTAGGTACACACACAAACATATATACACACAGAGATATGTGTGTATATATATATATATGCATATATATATATATGCATATATATATATATATATATATATATATATATATATATATACACACACACACACACAGCCACAAGTGTGCATATGCATACACACACATGTAAAACCACAATATAAATACTTCTGTTTATCAGTTCTTTCTCTGGAGGTGGATAGCATCTTCTTTCATAGGTCCTTCATAATTTATTTGTATATTTACAATACACAGAATAACTTAGTCATTCACAATTATTCTTACAACAATATTACTGTTACTGTATATAACATTTTCTTGGTTCTGCTCATTTCAGTCTTCATTATTTCATACAAGTCTTTCCATGTTTTTCTTAAATCAACCTGCTCATCATTTGTTATAATACAACAATGTTCCATCATAACCATGTACCACAGCCTGTTCAGCCATTTCTCAACTGATGGTCATCCCCTCAATTTCCAGTTCTTTGTCACCAGAAAGAGAGCTGCTATGAATATTTTAGAACATATTGGATCTTTTCCTTTTTCCCTGATCACCTTGGGAAACAGACACTTGAACCTATGAAATATTAAAAGAACCAGAGAAAAGCTTCTAATACAGTTGGAAGGTTCCATGGATGATTTAGAAAAATACATGGACATGAATGAAGAGGGATGAGGAGGACTGAGTTACAATATGCATCATAGAAAGTGTTTTCCAAACCACAGAATACATGGGCCCCCCAACTTTGGTATATATTCTTCACAGTAAGCTAAGTTAAACAAGTAGAAAACATGTTATCATCATTTTTTGACATCATCATATCAGCTCTGTGACCAGGGTCATGATGGCTCTTGGCATTCAGTCAAGAAGTGTTTATTGAGCCCCTATCTATTGCCAGTCACAGTGCTAACAACAAAGGTTACAAAGAAAGGCAATAAACAGTTGCTGTTCTAATAAGCCTAATGGGGAAGACAACATATAAATAACTGTACAAACAAGATACAGACGGGATAAATTGGAAATACTCTTAAAGAAAATATACTAGCATTGAGAGGAATTAGGAAAGGTTTCTTGAAGAACATGAGATTTTAGATGAGACTTTAAGGAAATTAGGGAAGCCTGGTGACGAGGAGGGTGAGAATTTCAGATAAGGGCGACAATCCCAGGTTGGAAGATGGAGTGCCTTACGTGAAGAACAGCAAGGTGGCCAGCATCACTGGAGAACATAGTATGTGCATTATAGGTGGGTGAGTAGTAAAGTGTAAGAAGAATGGAATAGTTGGAGGGGGCTTTGAATCCCAGGAGATTTTATATTTGATCCTGGAAGTGACAGAGAATCATTGGAGTTTACTGAATGGAGGTTGGGAAAGGGGGCAGGGGGAGACATGATCAGACCTGCCCTTTAGGGAGAACATTTTGACAGCTGAGTGGAAGATGGACTGCAGTGGGGAAAGACTCAAAGCAGGGTGACCAACTAGTAGGCCATTGTAATAGTCCAGGTATAAGTAATGAGGGCCAGCACCAGGGTGGAAGCAGCGTCAGAGGAAAGGAGGAGAGCTATAAGAGTGATGCTACATAGGTGGGATTGACAGGACCTGTCAACAGGGTGGATTTGGGGGAGATGAGAGTTGGGAGTCCAGGATGACACCCAGGTTGAGAGCCTGAGGGACTGGGAGGATGGCAGTGCCCTCAACAGTAATAGGCAAGGGAGCATTTGGGAATAATAAGGCATAACAAGTTCGGTTTTGGACATGCTGAGTTGCAGACATCTATGGGATATCCATTCTGAGTTGGAAATTTGAGTCTCAGTTTAAGGGCTAGATAAGTAGATATGGGAATCATTAGCTTAAAGATGTTAATTAAATCCATGGTAAACGAGATGAGGGTCCAGGACAGAGTCTTAGGAACACCTATGGTTAGTTGGCATGATTTGAATGAAGATCCGGCAAAGGAAGCTGAGGAGGATTCAAACAGGTAAGAGGAAAACCAAGAGAATCTGGTAGTACTCTGAGGACCTCTAAAGAAGAAAGTATCAAGGTGAAGAAGGTTCTTGAAAAATAGAGAAAGATTAAAGATTTGTGAAAAAGGAGAGATGGTAGAGTGTTCAATCTGCTGGAGAAGATGGGATGGAATGGATGGAATGGGATCACTTGTGTATGTAGAAGGATTAGCCTTGGCAAAGAGAAAGGCCAACTATTCATGTGAGACTGGTAAAGGAGAAGATAGAGGCAGAAGGCATCTGAATATTATGAGATGATGAGGTGAAGATAAGGGGGAACTCGGCAAATAGCCTTGATTTTTTTTCAATGAAATATGAGGCAAGGTTTTCTGCTGAAAGGGTGAGGGAAGGAAGAGTCATGGGAGGTTCAAGGACAAATGAAAAAGTTTGGATAAGCCACTAGGATGAGTGGAATAGTGATTCAATTAATACGAAGCATCAAAGTTGTTTAGAAAGTAGTTATAGTAGAATAGAGTAGATACACAACACACAGTGGTAAATTATTATAGTAACCTTGTGCTTGATAAAGGTAAAGATTTAAGCTTTCGAGATAAGAATTCACTGGTAAAAATTGTTGGGAAAACTGAAAAGCAATCTGGCAGAAACTAGGCATAGACCAATATCTTATACTATTTATCAAGATAAAGTCAAAATGAATATATTACCTAGACATAACGGGAGATATCATGAGCAAATTAGAAGAATATGGAACATATTACCTATCAGATTTATGGATATGAAAAGAATTTATTAATAAACAAGAGACAGAGAGCACTGTGATATGTAAAATGGATCATTGTGTTTACATTAAATTAAAAGGTTTTTGCACAAATAAAACTGATGTATCCAAGATTAAGAGGAAAGCAGAAAATTAGAGGAGAAATTTTAAAGACAGTTTCTCAAATAAAGGCCTTAAGTCTCAAATATATAGAGAATATTGTCAAATTTATAAGAATATAATTCATTCCACAATTAATAAATGGTTAAAAGATATGAACAGGCAGTTTTCAGAAGAAGAAATCAAAGCTACAGTGATATGAAAAATGTTCCAAACAATTATTGATGAGAGAAATGCAAATTAAAACAACTTTGAGATATTATCTTACACCTATCAGACTGACTAAAATGATAGAAGGGGAAAATGACAAATGTTGGAGGAGGTGTGGAAAAATTGGGACATTGATACACTGTTGGCAGAGTTGTAAACTGATCCAAACATTTTGGAGAGTAATCTGGAATTATTCCCAAAGAATTATAAAACTGCATATACCCTTTGACTCAGCAATACTACTATGAGGTCTGTTTCCCAAGATGATCAGGGGGGAGAAAAGAACCTATGTGTTCTAAGATATTTACAGTAGCTCTCTTTGTGATGGCAAAGAACTGGAAATTGAGAGGATGCCCATCAACTGGGGAATGACTGAATAAGCTGTAGTATACGATTGTGATGGAATGCTACTGTACTGTAAAAAATGATGAGCAGGTTGATTTTAGGAAAACATGGAGACTTGCATGAAATAATGAAGACTGAAAAGAGAGCATTATATACAGTAACAGCAATAATGTTCAAAGAGTAAATGTGAATGACTAAACTATTCTGAGTTACATGAATATTCAAAATAACTACAAAAGACCTATGAAGGAAGATGCTATCCACCTTCAGAAAGTGTATGGAACCACGTACTGTATGGTTTCACATATTTATATATTTATAATATATATATATATATTATATATTTATAGTATATATATATATATATATATATACACACACACATACACACACACACACATACACACACCACGTACTGTATGGTTTCACATATATATATATACATATACATATATATATATATATACACACACCACATACTGTATGGTTTCATATATATATATGTATATATATATGTATGTATGTGTGTATGTATGTATGTATGTATGTATGTATATATATATATATCTGTCAAATGTTAGCCTTCTCCAGTGCAAGGTTGGGAGGGAAGCAGGGAAACAGCTTGGAACTCAAATGTAACAAAAAAAATTAAAAAACACAATTATAGAAGATATCTCTCTCCTCATTCCTTTACAGAGGTGGAAGGTTCACTGGGGTGGAACACTGTATATATTTCCTGATTTTCCAATGTATTAAACAGTTTTGCTGATCCCTCTCCACTTTTGTCTTTTTTAAAAAATAATATTCTTTGGTTTAAGGGAAGCTTCTACAGAAGGAGGGGTGGATGTTGGGAGAAATTTAGGTAATATAAAAAGAAAAGATCTTTATGAAAATTAAATTTAAAAAAATTTTTTACAACAATCTCTGCAGGAATTCCTATCTCCTTTTGGCATGAAGGCAATACAGTGGGTTCTTGAAACCTGTGTGAGTATCGTGTAAGCTCTAGCAGGTCTTAGCCAAGCTTTAGATTGTGGGTGTCTGGGGGTGGAGGAGCTGAGGGTCTTTCTAATAAGTGCATAGAGACTCGTCACCAGAAGGCTGGACAGTTGATGATGGTTGGGAGAGGTCACTGGGTTCATGAAAGCCATCTGATTAAGGTGAGAAGGCACTCAAGTTCCTTGAGATTAGGAAACGTCTTGCTGTTCTTCATATCTCCAGCACTTAGTATGTACCTGGCACATAGTAAGAGCTTAATAAATGTTTATTGACTGACTGATCTGTACCAGTGAAAAGAGCCCCCTCATAGATGGAGGAACACAGAGCTACTGACGTACTGAATTTGCAACACACAAAGAATGTCTAACTGCAGGAGAACCATTCATTAAAGAGCACTGCAGTGTACTTCGAATTCATTAGCTCTACAACTGCAGCTGCTTTTGCCAGGTTGTCATAGTTACAACTTGACATGGTCTCACTCAGAGGGAGAACTCTTATTTAAACAGCTCATGAGAAACGTAAACCAAACACTGCCTCTGACCGTTGGTGAATATATAGAAATTATATCCTATGTGCTTAATTTGTCACTGATAATTGCATTTGGTGTGCCAGGGATAAGAGTGGCCTCAAAGCATCAAGGTTTTTGATGAAATTCATTGAGATGTTTGTGATCTGTTACAGCTGGCACAGGGCACAACCCTCCCACATAAGACATCAGCCAAGTACAGTTATTGTCACTCACACTGAGCTGCCTGTACCAGGGACAGGCAGTAGAGAGGCTATCACCACAATGTGGCCCTTTAAAAATTAATAGCAGAATATGGCTAATTAAGCCTGGAACAACTTAGGAAAGCACTTCCACACAAACTGCTGGCATCTGCCCCTTGTGTGCCCTTTGCAAAAAAAAAAAATGATTTTTAGATGCTGAAGAGTGAAATATGACCCCTGCAGCTGAGTAAGAAGATGCCCTCAGGCAGCAGCAATCTCCAATGTTTGTTGAATCATGTACAAGAATTAAAGGAAGTCTAAAACAAATGTGGTTAGCAGCTGTCAGGCTGTGTATACAGATAGCTACAGACTAACCCCAACTCAGATTTAAAAGATCTTTAGTCTTCATTTTAAAAGGATATGTTTTCCTTTCTCTTTGTACATTTCAACAGTGTGTTTTTATACAATGTCGTTAACAAAAACTAAGAGTTAAGCATGGCCTATTGAAATGGGTTTCCTCATGAGACCTCTAAGATCCTCTCGAAAGTCAACAGACTCCACCACACGGAGATTAGGGGGGAAACAAGTGAGAGGAGGATGCTTGAAGAGGACTTATTTTCAAACTTTAATGTTTGGGATTTTTTTTCCCTCTCCCCTCAGTCAGCTTAAAGGAATGACAAGATCCCTTCAAAAGAAGACAGAGCAGCACAGCGAAAAGAGTCCTGGATTTGTACACGGAGATCTTGAGCTCTAATCCTACGTCTGCCTCTTACTAGATAGATGACTTTAGGCAAGTAATACCTTCTCCGGGCCTTGATTTTCTTATCTGTAAAAGGTCAGAGGCAGGGTTGGGGAACCTGTGGCCTTCTAGGTCCTTGGGTATGGCCTTTTGACTGAGTCCAAGCTTTTTGGGTTTTTTGTATGTGAGACAACTGGGGTTAAGTGACTTGACTAGGGTCACACAGCTAGTCTCCAGTGTCCAAGGCTGGATTTGAACTCAGGTCTTCCTGACTCCACAGCTCTATTTACTGTACCACCTAGTTGTCCCCTGAGTCCAAGTTTTACAGAATAAATCCTTTTATGAAGGGGGTTTGTTCTATGAAGTTTGGATTCCATCAAAGGGCTGCACTTGAGGACCTAGAGGGCCACATGTGGCGCCGAGGCTACAGGTTCCCCAACCCTGGAGAGGTAGTCAAGGTGATCTCCAAGGGCCCTTCCAGCTCCACATCTATGATGCCTTGATCCCTCTTGAACTCAAGGGCTGAGAGATTCTAGCAGGGCTTGGAAGCCTGCAGTTACTTTGTCATTCTCAAAAAGCATCTGGGTGGGAGAAAAATCGACTCCCAGGAAGCATCTGACTTCAGGCACTTTTTGCAATCTTGTCAAGTTTTTAAGTGACCCGTCCCTACTTGGGTTTCATTGCTGCTAAATTTCTGGGTTACCTAGTATTAAGATAGGTTTGGGAAAATCACCATCAATCCACTGAATCTATTGCAGCAATGCCCCCCCTCAAAAAAACCACCAGTTGGTTTTAATTTACTACAATAAAATCCACCACTGGTATTGGTTCAGACTCCTCCAAAAGCCCCAACAGGAAATGAAAATTCCTGTAATCACTGTGCCTGTCTACAGTCATCAAGTTGGGTATGGTGCAGTTCTATGGACAGCTAAACACACTTTTTGTAGGCCCAGGGGTCCTAGAGCCCACAAAAATGCTAGTCGTATCACCATTTAAAACTATGACTCTTGATCTCTGAGGCCCTTATACAAGGCCATATATGATGAATAAAAGATGAAATAAATGAGGAAACAAAAGTTCATGCTTCTAAGCATATCGATTTATTATAACTGCATGCCATCTGCATAACAAATCAGGACTAGACATCCTCAGCTTGGCACTGGACCCCAAATACAGGAGGAGACAGATTTTTATGTATGAAAAACAATGAGTCAAATAAGACCAACTAATTAAAAGAAAACCATTAATCATGATACAAAATTAAATAATCTGACTTCTAATTGGAGGAAAGATTAGGGACTTTCCAAGTTGGGAGGGGAAGAGCAAACAGGTACAATTCCCTAAAATGAGAAAAAAAGAAGTGTCCTACTACCCCCAGGTGTCTGTATTCAATTGAAGGGACAATAACTGATTGACCAGTATGGGGCAGTTTTCAAATCAGACATATGGGTTGTTTCAGATGCATAATTGTGAGAAAACTCCTTGCATCAATCTTGAGATTTGACTGAGTTTCTAGTCAGCATAACCTAAGTGTTTAAGGGTCTCTAAGCAGTAGGTAAAGGTGGTCCAGCTTCCCAACCACATAAGGCTGGGTTCAAACAATGAAATAAAGTTTTCTCACAACTCCCACAATTGAATAGTTTTCTCACAAGACAGAAATTTGGTAAGACCCAAAACTGAACTAAGCTAGCTCCAGAACTGAGTCACAAGATGGAGACAGTGTGGTTCACTCAATTCCCACAATTAACCACTTGCTGTTCTAATTCCCTCACATAAGACAGAGTCACTAGTCCATTTGTTTTGCAACTCTCATTCCAGGACCCAACTAAGTTCCAATGTTTTTGAAAAACTGATGTGACCTTTGGCCTTGGACACAATGGGCATGTTCAGTTTACAGAAATTGAAAAGTAAGAAAACTGAAAGTAAAGAAACAAAACAAAGGAATCATTGGAAGAGTGGAGCTCACAAATCTCTCAACTTACAATGATCACAAGGAAGCTTATTTAGAGACTCACCTCTCTGTGCATTCCTTCACCACAGCAAAATTACCATCACCAATGACCTTCCCAATTCTGTATTTGTCAAGAAGAGTTGATGACTCAAAGCACCTGTTTCCATTCACACCTGCAGAAAGGACAGCATAAATGTCAAAGGCAACAGTGTCAACAACTCACCTTGCTCTCCACACTGAAACTTGCAATGTAAAGATTTCTAGACCCAAAGAAAGAAAGGAAAAAGTGCTGCAGACCTGATAATCTGGCTCAACTGGACCTCATTAGCACATGGAGTATTTAGTGCTGGTGCCACATTAGTATAATAGAAAATTTAACAAATGTATGCTTAATCTCTCAAACCTCCGATGAACTAAGTCATTAGCCTGTCATTAAAAGGAATTCTAATTAAAGTTATCCTAACAGGTTTTTATCCAGGCTTATTCAACCCTGAAAAAGCTGTGTGAATATTGGAAAACAGGTTACTTTCCCTGCAGGCTTTCAAGGAACAAATAAAGTACAGAGCAGAATTTTCATGAACCTGATATTTTGGGTTTTTTAAATATTTTCATGAATGTATTTCATTATAATGGGATTTTTGGTAACTTTACGCATTTTATTTTCCTCATTTAAAAACATTAATCTGATGTCAACAGCCTTTACTATACTGCCAGGGGGCCCATAAGACAAAAAAGCTTAAGAATCACTGCTGTAGAGTAAGGACAGTGCAAAATTAAATTTCAAAGTATGCATCTACTAACTTTCCATTATAGTTTAAATTTTACACGGCTTAAAAAAAAGAGGGGAGAAGATCAATGATCTACTTTGACCAGGGTCTTGACAAAATAGCTAGTTATCAGTGACAGGGTCCTTTTTAAAATAATAAACCACAACTCTTTCCTCCTCCACATTGTGCTAAAAAATGTCAGTGATTTCAGCGCACAGAACCGAAGATGAAGGAGCAGTCCATCTATGCTCCTAGAGTTGTTGGGTAGAGATGATTCTGGTGGAGGAATAAGATGTGTTGCTCAGACGTGCCTACGTGATAGTAACTGAGGAAGAGCTTAAGAACCAGAACAAGCTGCCTCTGACATACAAGCAGCCTAACCCCACCGATGACTCAACCCCTCTGAGTGCCAGACGATTCTCTGAGACCCTAAGTTCAAGAGAGGGCACCAACTGGTGTCGGTACAAGGATAAATTCCCCATCCTAGTGAAATCACCGGTCCAGTCACTAACTCTACTTTCCTAAAGCTAGAACCCTTTGTGATACAAAGATGGATGATGGCATAAGAAAAAGACAGAAAAAGGCAAACCCAAGTTTAAAATCTAAACTGCTGTCGACAGGCAGAGAGCCTGGGGTCTGGTTATAGGCCAGGGCACCTCAACCATTTTTTTGTGTCTTGGACCCTTTGGGCAGTCTACTGAAGACTGTTAAGCCCTGCTCAGATGAGTGTTTTTGGATGTATAAAATAAGATACATGAGATTACAAAGAAAACTAATTATATTGAAATAATTATCAATTTTTAAGAAAAAATGTTCAAGTATCCCAGATAAAGAATTCCTCTTAAAGACTAACCTCTTTGAAGGCCCTTGAAAAAAGAGTTTCTAAAGCAGGCTGATATCCAACACAATAGATGATATTACTACCTTTAGGAAACCTGGGTATCTATCTTTTTATCTGTCTGGTGCCTTTGTACACAGCAGACATGCAGGCAGGCAGACACACACACACACACACACACACACACACACACACACACACACACACACACATTTAATGAATTGAAATAGACAAGGCACTAGCCCGCACTTGACTAAGCACTTATCAGGACATAAGCAGATCCTAATGTAGCCCAAGTTTTTGCCATCTCCAAAAGTACTTTCTCTAATTCCTGGTAGCATCCTGTTTAACGAGCTTTTACTGAACGGCAACCTACCTTCAGGGCTCAGGCAGCGGTACAGTTCAGGTCCGCCATTCACGTTGGAAGCAGACCCGCAGTGTGGTGGGATCTAAGAAACAGCAAACAGTCTGTTACTTCTCACGACAAAAGCCCAATCGATGACAAATGGATAAAACCAATAGATGTAACAAAGAGCAACCATGAACACAAAGAGCCCCATTTGCTTCTTAGCACTCAGCCTTGTGCCTGGTGGGGCAGTGGACAGAACACTGAGTCCAGAGTCTGAAAGACCAGAGTTCAAATCTAATATCATACGCTTAATAGCTGTGGAACCCAGAGCAAGTCATTTAATCCTGCATAAAACTAGGGGAAGAAAACAGCAAATCACTGTAGTACCTTTGCCAAGAAACCTGCATGGGCAGTTGGCCCATGGGGTCCAAAAAGTTGAACAACAGGGGCAGCTAGGTGGCAGAGGGGATAGATACAGCACCAGCCCTGGAGTCAGGAGGACCTGAGTTCAAACACGGCCTCAGACAGGTAACACTCACTAGCTGTGTGACTCTGGGCAAGTCACTTAACCCCAACTACCTCACAAAGGAAAAAAAAAGTTGAACAACTGTGCCTGGTATGTTAAGTACTATATAAATGTTATTTATTGTTGTTGTTATTAGTATTGTATTGTGATATAATCTAATTACATATGCTAATATAATACTGTATATCATTTTAATATTATTATCACATATATATCTATATCTTTATATGTATACATATATACACACACACGTATGTATGTGTGTTACTTTCCCCTCATCCCAGTAATTTTGGTACAGGTCATCCCCAGCTTTAATATTTTCACTTTAGCTTAGTTACTTAAAGCAAAGAATGGACACAAAGTAGCTGCCTATTGATTGGGGAAAGGCTCAACAAATTGTGTACATGGGCATGTACAAAGGAATAATGAAGGTAATAAATACAGAGTAGTATAGGAAAGCCCGACATGAAGTGGTACAAAATAAAGTAAGCACAGCCAAGAAAACAGTATCAACATGGACTAGAACAATACAAATGGAAAGAATCACCATCACCAAACAATGGAAAATGAACGTTACAAACAAAACAAAACAAAACAAAACAAGCATGGTCCTAAAGAAAAGAGATGAAAAGAAATGTCCTCCAGCTCCTTTGAGGAGTTGGAGGAAGGGGGAAATCCATGGGTACAGCATTGAATATAATATTAGTTTGGGGTTTTTTGGTTTTGTTTTTTTTTTTTTACTATATAGGGTGACTCCAAAGTTTTAGTGTAGCTAAGAGCTTAAAACTGTACTAAGACTTTAGGGACACCCTATATTGATCAATTTTGCTGATTTCTAAAAATTCTTCCCCTTTTAAAAATGTTTTTGTAATAACAGATGTTTCTGGAAGAATATAAGGAGAAGAATACAGGTAGAAATCTAGGCAATGTAAAAATAAAAGATATTATAAAAATCTATTTAAAAAAAGATTAGCTAAAGGCAGAATGAGAGAGGGACAGGGGGAAGAGTAAGCGATTTTTAGATTTCCCTGAAGGAAAAAAAGGGATTCCAACTCCTGCCCAAACACAATTCTAAAAGCTGCTGCTGATTACAAGAGACTCAAGCATTGTTTGAAAACTCCATGCTTAGAAAGCTGGTCAGATTCGGACTGCTTTTGCAGTCAGTCAGTAAATAAACATTTGTTAAACATCTACTATGTGTCAGACACTGTGCTAATTGCCCCCCCCGCCCCACCACACTTAAAAAAATTTTCCAAGCCAGTTCCTGCCCCATCTGGCAGAGTCTACAATCTAATAGGGAAGATTCTCGTTCATTTCTGCAATCTAGGTTATGGTACTTAATTCTTGGATTCTAAGGACAGCCCAGTCCCCATCAGCCGATATTACAGAAAGAACCCTCAGAGCGCATCTTGTCTAATCCCAGAATTTCACAGAAGAGGAATCTGAGGCTTACAAAGAAGTAATTTTCCAGAGTCATACATGTAACAAATAGAACATCTGGGATTTGAGTCCATATATGCCTTCTGATTCCAAGTCTACTGCTTTCTGCATTTTATATTCTAACAGGCTAGCATTGCCCCACAGAGCACGCTCGGTCACGATTACCAGCATCCCCATGGAAGCAGGTGGAGGGGAGGGGCAGACTTCCGGCTACATATGGCTCACTGCTCAAGTCCTCTGATTGGCTGCTGAGTCAGAACAACAGGTGATGAATTAGTAGTCAAAGGACCGACTAGCTTTCAAATGCTGGCTCTGTCATTTACTACCCGGGTGACTGCAAGTAGCTCGCTTTACCTCTCTTCCTTCAGTTTCCTCACCTGTAAAATAAGGAGATACTACTAGATAAGCTTTAAGGTCCCTTCCATCTCTAAATCTACAATGTTACAATCTACTTTCCATTCAGCAGAAATGCTAACATTTGATACACTGTTTCTATTTCTAAATGCGGACACTCTCAATAAAATTCCAAATATTTCAGCAAGGGCAGTGAGAATGCCCAGCAGAGGTGATGTAGCTTTGAATTCTGTTATGGCTATTAAAAAAATAAAAACAAAAACAAAGCAGTTTACATCTACCAGAATCTTAGCATTCGCCCTGTAATGCTTTATTATTATGGATGACCATAAAAACTCACTCCAAAGTCCGCTCTGGTTGACGTCAGGACAAACAACAGAGGGTTATCAGCCAAGTTCCAACGAAGGAGCCAGTCTCTCAGGGCTGGAGGCAGTCTCCAAGAACAAGCTGTCATAGTGTTGAGGGATTACTCTGATAGCTAGCACTTTTCTTGATTCAGAGTGTTCACCATGGGGATGAAATGAGGCATTTACAAAGGATCACACTAAAGGAGGTGAATGTCACCCTTTATGTAACAAGAATATGCTACTTCAAGGATAGGGGCACAAAGGTTCTCTGGACACAGTCCCCTCATCTCCATCTAGAAATGTGTGCGGTTGGTAGGTCATCAGGGAACGGTGATGCTCATTGTCTTATGCACCTACCAAGTCTTAGAGGCCCAGGTTCTATGTGGCTGGGATTTTTCATGCACAAAGGTGACCAGGAAACTCTATCAGGGAAGCCAGGGTTAATCAGGTCCCAGGGACAGCTTTATTGTGAGCCTTCTCCATACTGGCTGGGGTGGGAGAGACAGAAAAGGAAGCCGCTTCAGGGAAGCTGTGCCTGTTCAAGCCTCTTCATGTTGTAGGTTGGAGGGAAGAAGTTTAACCAGGGAAAAACACTGGTCATATGGCAAACATGGCAAAATGGAAAACGGAACTGGTTCTGTACGTACCCGTTTTACAAGTTGTGCGCATTACTGCAGTGCTCTGTCTAAAATCTGCCACAAAGGGCATGCTTTTGCCTTGCATTTTCTTGGTGGTGTGAGGCCTTTAAGTATTGAAATACATTTGGATATGGAGAGAATTTCCCAGAGCCCTGGTTCTCCCTTCTTGGTCACAGAATTCCTTAGACCTTTTTCTCCAATCTACTTGCCATTTCTATTTCCATTGTTTTCCTGACAGTTCTAACATCAACCTAACTCATCTGCTATTTAGATCATTGTGATCATCTCTTCTTGACCCCATTTAGGGGTTTCTCAACAAAGTTACTGGAGCGGTTTGCCACTTCCTTCTCCAGCTCATTTTAAAGATGAGGAAACCGAGGCAAACAGGGTTAAGTGACTTGCCCAGGGTTACCCAGCTAATAAGTGTCTGAGTCTAGATTTGAACTCAGGAAGATGAGTCATCCCGACTTCAGGCCAGCGCTCTGTCCACTGTACTCAACTGCCTCTAACTCTGCATATCAAAAATGAACATTTGAGTAAGAGTACAACAGGAAGTAGATTAGTGTGGCAGGTTCTTTCAGCAAAATTTAAGGAAGAGAGGATGAGACAACTTTATCTGCCTCCCAGTTTGTCTGAGATAGAATTTGGAGTTCTGGAGTTTGAAACGCGTTTCTGTGAAATCTCACTTTATGGAAACTTTCAGCACTTGATTGTGCTATGGAACTTCTGAAGTCATTTTGGAGAAAAGAAAGACAGCTGCATACCAAGGAGTACATGTGAGACCATGAATAATTCACCTGTCCTTTCTGGACCTATGAGGCAAACTTTTTTTTTTAATTCCTTCAAGTAGATTAATAAGGCAATACTGTAATCTATTAAATGCTTTAAACAGTTATATAACTTGAATAAGTGTTCACATATAATCCCATTATCTATGAAATGATATAAATTTAACAAGGGATAGAGGGGAAGGAAAGAGAGCAGGAAATAAGGAGCCCTCCAAAGAAGTGGAAAAAGAATTAAATTACAGAAGAAAACTATGTGCATAAAACTACAGAGAGAAATGGAAAGGTTCACAGTGGATCAGAGCAGTTTGCAACATCTAACCAATAAAGAGCTTGGAAGAACAGTTATAAAGGATGTTATCAAGAAATTGTACGGCAAAAAGAGAACATGGGTTGGTCACAGGTCAAGAGCAAGTCAGTGTTCCACTAGTACACCCTGGAAATGTCAGGAGAAAGTGGAGAGGGCTCAAGCATGGATCCCCTGGGTTAAACTTTGAGGAGATGAAAGATCTGTTTAAATGTATTATATGTGGTGACAAAGACGAGATAAATACATTTTTTACTCTCCTAACTTGTGGCAGGTTAGAAACTGTGACATAACAATTACTGAGTAACCAGGACTACAATCTGAATTACGGGGCTACATTTTAGATCTGGGGGGGGGCGCCACAGAGTGGTCTGGCAAAGAAAAATAAGGAGGGCAAACCTAGATGAGTTGCTTTCTGTGTTATTGGAGAAAATTCCAAATTGATGAGATCACAGATGCATTTGAGTATTTGATTATAGTATTTGTTGTGAAAAGGCACATTTCTTCCTCTCTGTGTCTTCCTTCCCCATTATTCTTTCACTTGTTTCCCAGGGTATTTGTCTCTTTGCCATCAGAAGTGGTAGGATAAATATGTTCCTCTGCCTTCTAGTCCATTTCCATTGGAAATAAGACTCTGCCTGGCTAGCAACAGGGGTCACAAAATCAGCCTTCCAATTAGACTGATTACACTGCAAAGTATTAA